CTTACCCTTCTTCGTCATCGTCTTCATCACCCTCCTCCTGTCATGAATGCAAAGTCAGCTATTGTTCCAAAGCGATTGAGGGGAGAAGTGGGGCTGGAACGTACAAAGTCTTCGTCCTCCTCATCATCCTCGTCTTCGTCAGCTACATCCTCGGCGGCTTGCTTTTCGGCGGCCTTGGCAGCATCGCGCTTGTCGTCCTTGACCGACGACTCGATGGAGCCAACATCAGCAGTGTCCTTGGATGTAACCTCGGTCATGTTTGCAGTAAGAAAGTAGATAGAGTGGAGAAGGAAGGGTTCCTATGGGAAGAGATGGAGGAAAGGTATACAGAAGCCTCTATGTGTCCAAGGGGGATTTGAGGGCTCTAGGGATATGCAAAGTGGCCTGGCTGACGAACTGCATCCAAGTTGTCACAGTCTGCAGGCTGCTCACACTCTCGCACTGTGGCATGACAGCGGGCAGCCCAGCTTGGGACGGGGCAGTTTTCCCGCGAGGAAAAGGGCTGTCCATGAGTGCAATCCAACCCGGCGTGAGCTGGAATCGAGCTTACCCTTGGGCCTTTTGTGGAATGGAAAGCGACATTCCAATTTAGGAAGCTGCCTCCCCTCCGTCGCCCAACCGTACTGTAGCCAGGCGGGATCGTCCCAAACCGCTCCGCTGCCCAAAAAGCAAAGATGGTCTGAGCGCACAAAGCACCGACGCGTCACGCTGTGCCTCCACACCCACAACCGCAAAAAGGTCTGCCCTCCCCAGCGCGTCGGCTAGGGCGCAACGACGGTGATCAGTCAGAGGACCCCCCAGCAAGCCGATCAAACATGCACGCTCGATGCGGCTCTGCATGCCAAACATCTACAACCCCCCTCATTTTTCCACGCCAATCGTTCCAGCATATCGGGACACATCGACCCTCAATATCGGGATGCACAATCCAGATTCACTGCGAGCAACACGGCGATTCGACGATGGTTGACATGAGGCATTGCTTGGTGGCTAGATTTCGAGCACGAGGTTCGGGATGCGTCCGTTGAGACAGCCGAACGGCGTCGGGATCCAGTTGGACGGTGCTGCCGACCAGCCCTGCGGCATAGCACTGGCAGCGGAGCCATGGACGTGGTTCGAGCTGGTCTGCGGAGTGTCGTCCATGCTGACATCGGCCACGCGCTCATCGACTGCAAACAGCGTCTGCAGACCATCGAGCCGGCTCTGCATCACATCCAGCTCGGAGGTAAAGTCGCCCTGGCCCAGGTTGGCTTCGAGCTCGGCGGTGGTGACAAAGGCCGAGACGCGGAGCACGGCGATCAAAGGTGCGATGCGCGCCCCGAGCTCGTGGTTGCGCTCGGCGATCAGGTCGAGCAGCCCCGTCGAAGCAGGCAGCTGCAGAGGCAGACACAGCTCGGCCACTTCGACATCGGAGACCAGCGGGCCCACCGATGCTTGCGCATTCGAGGGTGCAAAGCCACTGGCAACAGGGGTCGTGGTGATCAGGTACCGCAGCCACGCCTCGGCGGTCTTGCCATAGCTCGCGTGCGACAGTGCAGCTGTCTTCCAACCCTGCCAGCTCGGGTCGTCTGCCGATGCATCTTGTTCGGCGTCTGCATCGTCGTCGTCTTCGGGGAGGACGGGGCGGCGAAAGGCTACGTCCACAAGCTCCTCGGCGAGGATCTGGCCAAAGATGCGGCCGTATGTCTCGCGCAGGTACGCCAGCAGCGGCGCCCATATCGCCACCACCTCGTCCGGCAGCACCATAGCCTTGCCACTCGCCGAGGCTGACACGCGCTTGGACCGGCTGAGAGGCACGAGGCCGCCGGGTTGCAGCAGCTGGTTGACCAGATCGGCCAGCGCCGATTTCGTGCACTCGTCCACGTCGTCCGGATCCTGGGCGCCCTGCCGCACATCCGCCTCTTCGTCCTTGCCCTTGGTGGCGCGCGCGCGCTCGATGAGCTGCGCGCCGAACTCGGGCTCGAGCGTCCGGATGCGCGACACGAACATGGCGAGCTGCTTGAACAGCCGGCGCACGTCCGCCTTGGCTGCGTTGGCCAGACTGCGATCGCGCGCCACCTTCTTGGCCAGCTCCCGGTAGTCTTTGAGCGTGACATGCAGCTCGCGCAGCGCCTTGGTGCGTTCGCTACGACGCGTCTCTTCCTCTTCGCTCGACGCGGTCGGTGCTGTCGACACGCCGAATTCCACATCGGCTGGTTTGCGAGAGCCACTTGCGTCTGCGCGCGCAGCTTGCGGTTCGTGGTGGGTATCAAAGAGCTGCGGCGCCCAAAAGTGCGTGTGCAGCCAGGCGAGTGCGGCGCGTGCGGCGTGGCGGCAGACGCTGATGCTGGGCAGCTCCTCGTGCGTGGTGGCATGGCGGATCTCGACGAACCACTGCGGCAACCCGATGCGCGCCGCAATCGCCGCGATCGACTGCGCGAATCCACCCGTCTGATGCGAGTCGACCACGCTGTTGACGAACCTTGTCAGCGCCAGACTGTAGTTGAGCCGGACACCCAGCTCGGCACCGCCGCCCATCTGCTCGAGCGCATAGTGCAGCGACGACGTGGCGGGCGGAGCATGCGACTGCGCGGCGATCTGCTGCATGTGTTCATCCAGAATGACGCTCTGTACGAGCAGCGCCGTGGTTTCGACGGCAAACGGGCATGCGGAGCGGTTGATCCATAGCTGGACGAGCGAGAGCGCCGTGTGTCGGTGTGCGCGCGACGAGGCGTTGGACGGCAGCAGCGGCGAATCCGGGTACAGATGGCGGTAGACCTCGAGCAGCTCGGCGTGGCGCGAGTGGAGGAACGGCGACCTCTTGGGCGGCCTCATGGTGTCGAGCTGCAGTGAAGCGCTGGAGAGATGTGATGATGATGGTAGAAGGCTGAGTCGACGAGGCGGAAGGACTAGGTTCAGATGACTACTGGAAAGCTTGATTCTTCCCACAGGGTTCGAGGCGGGTGGGAAATGCAAAAATCCGCACCGGCACCTCCGCTCTCTCTGACACTTCCGCCTCCCGAAATTCTGTACAAAAGTCGGAATCGAAAAAGAAAAAGCCCGATGAGCATTTGAGCCGTTGGAGGGCGGCGAAATATGACGCAGCGCCTCTCTCACGCGACACTGAGCTATCGCTGCTGCTGCACCGCCGCCCTGCTGTGCCCCTTTGTTGGAGCGATTTGCAATCAACACTTTCGACTCACTACCACCACCACCACCACCACCACCACCACCACCACCACCACCACCACCACCACCACCACCACCATCACTACCACCGCCTTCACCGCCGTCTCCTTCTTCACCCNCCACCACCACCACCACCACCACCACCACCACCACCACCACCACCACCACCATCACTGTCGCGCAATCATGGCATCGATAAATGTCGCATCGCGGCCGAAGCAGCCGTACGTCTCGGTATCGTGCCCGTACACAACATGCCGCTCGTCAATCGAGTACCTGCCGCCGTCGGCCGCCGAGCTCGCAGCGCTGCCGTCGCACGAGACCTCGTTCACCGTCACATGCTGCACGTGCTCCAAGCAGTTCGAGCCTCCGGGCGCGACCAAGCTCGTGCGCGATGCACGCAAGTCGGGCGGCAAGGACGTTGCGCGCAAGCGGCGCATCGGCACGGACGACAATCCGCTCGACATGACGTACTACGACATCCTGGGCGTGCCGGCCTCAGCGACGCTCGAGGAGATCAAGAAAGCGTACCGCAAGCTGGCGATCAAGCTGCATCCGGACAAGAATCCCAACGATGCCGAGGTGGAGGAAAAGTTCAAGGCGCTCGCGACGGCGTACCATGTGCTGTCGGATGGCGAGTTGCGGCACAAGTACAACGAGTTCGGTGCGAGCACGCCCGGGTTAACGCCCGAGGACGGGTTCGTAGATCCGGAGGAGGTTTTCGGGTCGCTGTTTGGCGGTGAGCGCTTTGCGGACATCATCGGGACGATTTCGATCGGCAAGGATATGAAGGAGGCGTTGCAGCAGGATTCGGACGATCTCGAGCGTCAGGCGAATGGCGAAGAGGTGGCTGCTGGCGAAGGGTCGACCAAGCCCGTGTTGACGCCGGAGCAGAAGGCGGCCAAGGAGGAGAAGGAGCGCGTGCAGGCGGCGGAGCGCGACAAGCAGCGGCAACAACGCGTCGCAAAGCTCGTCGAGAAGCTGGTGCGTAAGCTGAGCATCTATACGGAGAGCATCCGGAGCGCCAACGATCCGACGCTCGAGCGCGAGGTGGAAAAGTCCTTCCGCGAAATCACGCGCATCGACGCCGAGGAGCTCAAGCACGAATCGTACGGCGTGGAGCTTCTGCATGCGGTCGGCTTCGTCTACTCTGCCAAGAGCAAGCACTATCTCGCCAGCACCGGTTTTCTCGGCTCTTTCGGCGGAGTCTTTCACTCTGCTGCATCGAGCATTCACGTCGTGCGCGAGACCGTGTCGACGGTACGGGCGGCGTTGGAGCTCAAGAGTGTCTTTGAGGAGTTGGCCAAGGCGGAAGAGCAGGGGATCACGGTGGAGCGCAAGCGCGAGCTCGAGGAGCAGGCCGCCGAAAAGGGCATGCGTGCCCTCTTCAAGGGCGCCAAACTCGAGGTGGAGAGCGTGATCCGCGAAGTCAGCGAAGCGGTCCTCTACGACGCAAGCATCGGGAAGGAGACCCAGAGACTGCGTGCGCAGGCGCTGGGCATTGTGGGCGAAATCTACATGGCCGTCAAGAAGGACGACGACAAACCCGCCGAGGTGGAAGACTATGTCAAGGTCGACACTCAAGCGTCCAAACAGCGCGAAAACGCACAGAGTCACAGCTCTCCACCCCAGAATCCGTGGTAAATGCGAAACCTTTTGCGGATTGCCATTTTGTACTTTGTGTGTGTGCGGAGCGGGGTTAGGGGATTGGTGGTGTGCTCCATCGGTGGACAGTGCGTGGGCGCATTCGGAGCGTCGGTGCGGGACTAGCCCGTTGCGAGGCGCTTGCGCTTTCGCCCTCGCTGTGAGGGCCCTCGCTCTTGATCGCGCTGGCAATCGCCTGTTGCATGGCCGCATAGTCTGCACCCTGTGGCAGCTGAATCGGTTGCTGAGCGGGGACAGCGCTGGCGGGCATGAGCTCATAGAAGAGCATATACGGATTCTCCTGTTTGACGTGCCCAATCGTCGTGCGCGATACGCTCTCGTCTGAAATCCGCAACCACGTCTCGTCTTCCTCCTCGCCCACACCCTGCAACCCAGCCGACTCCTGCACTCGCTTAAAGGCGACATAGTGTCCGAACGAGTGCGATCCATAATGCACCACGATCGCCGCCAGCCTGTAAATCGCCGCCACCTGACCCTCGTCTCCACCCGCGCCATTCGCATTCATGGCTTGCCGGCCATCCAGCGAGATGCTTCCCTGCAGCGTGAACTGAGCCAAATCAAGGTACTCTGGAAACAGCACGTGGCGGTTGTTCTTGGCGGGAGCCCACGCAGATGCCGAGTAGGAGGAGCGATTCAAATGCAGCGCCAGGATGCGCGGCGGTCTCGACACCATGATCTGCTTGGTCGACAGTCGGCTGATCGTCTTCTTGAGCTGCACATTGTTCAGCACGTTGTGCCACGGCGATGCCGGGTCCTCGGCCGCCTGCTTCAACTCGTCCTCCGAAAGCCCCGACTCGATGATGCGCGTCAGCCTGGCTTCTTTCGACCTGAGCTGCGCGAGCCTCTTCTTCTTTGCCGGGGTCATGCCTCCGTTGGCCGAGCCATTCGCCTCGCCGTTCTTGAGCTTGCCATTCTGCTTCGAGTCCAGCGCAGGCGCCCGTGCGGCCAGATCGATCCGGATGCTCTGCAGCGTGTTGCGCAACGTGCAGTTCCAACAGATCCAGTCGACCTGCTCCAAGTCGGACCACAGCGCCAGACACTCTTGGAGCGAGCACGCCGAGGTGCCGGTGAGCTCCGAGGTGCGTGTGCGCACATTCATCGGCGGCACCGAGAGCGAGATCTCGGAGGCGGAAAAGTGGCGGATGGCCTCGCAGTAGCCGCAGTCGAGGCAGATGGTGCGCTGCGCCAGCAACGCGTCGAACGGCGAGATCATAAGCGTCTCGCTGCCGCCTGCGCCCATGTCGTCGCGGCGTTTCGATGGGTCGCCGCCGGATCCAGGTGCAAGATGATGCAGAGAGAGGAGCGAGGAGCTAGCCGGCAAGATGCCGTTGGCTTGTGCTGGATCTGCATAGACGGCGCGACCGCTCCACGGTAAAGAGGGCGCCATGAGGGCTCGAAGACCGGCCTGCTCCGAGTCGAGAGCGTCGGCCTTGTCGTTTTGGATTGCCTTTGCCTCGGCATCGACGGCTTCGTTGAGGAGTGCAAAGAGCTCATGGGCATCCTGCTGCTGGTGAGCCCCAACGAGACTGCGGATGGATGAGGACGGCAGGTTCTGGAGCGCCCTCACGAGCTGTACGGGATTGATGGCCGCATTGCGTTCGGCTGGTGTGACGAGCTCCTGGACAAGCTCGAGCAGGGCATCGATGACGGGTGTTGGCGTGTCCCAACGCTCGGCCTCGTCGACAAGAAAGGCGAGATACGTGCGGAAGAGCGCGAGCGATGATATAGACTGAAGGGTCGAGTTGAAGAAGCACGTGTTGCCGGTATTCCGCAGCCCCTTGTACTTTGGATTCGCCAGTCGAGGCTTGGCAGCTGCTGCGAATGTGCTGGAAGATGACGAGGCGGTCGAGCGCGCACGCCGGAGCGACTTGGAAGCCGCGTTGATGTCCTTTGCCGATGCCGAGGGGGTGTATGGATGGAGGCGCGAGGCGGCGTGCAGGCCCGGTTTGAGCATGTCTTTGTAGGCGAGCGTCACAAGCAGGACGAGCAGAAGAGCGCCAAGGGCTATCGCAGCCTGGACGGCCAAGGTGACGGGAAACGGAAGCACGCCCAACAGCGGATAGGCTGGGCTGGCCGTAGGTTTGACGAGGACGAAGCGATAGTCTCCCATGCCCGCGGACGCTCCTGCTACACCCCGAGCGGCGCTAATGGCTCCATCCGCCGGCAGCTGTGTGAGGTCGGATGTTGGAGGCTTGTACGATAGCAGGGGCGGGAGAGGCTAGACTGGCTGGGACGAGATGAAGGTCCAGATGATGCATTGCATGGCACCCACGAAGCGGCTCGAGCTTTCTTTTTGGCTTTGGCTGGGCTGGAAGGAGTCGCCAAAAATCCAAAATCGGGAAATCCAAGCTCAGCTGGTGTGGGTGTCGTCATTTTTCGCGCACCTCCACCTGTGTGGGCGCGGACCGCCTTAACATCGATGAGGAGAGCGCTTGACCTGCCCGATGCAGGTTGGCTCTTTACGGTAAGCGCTTTGGCCGGCGATGTGAACGATTTAGGCTGCTCAGCCGCGAAAACAGGGTCGCCGGCGCGGCTTGACAAGCTCGCCCGTGTTGCAGCGGGCAGCGATGGCACCAAGCATATGATGGATCGCCTACGATGGATTGCCTACACTATAGCCTCGCCAGCTTGCGATGGTGCATCGCGATGCGGTGACAACAGATCGGCGGGCCAGGACGACGAGGAGCTGCCTCGGTTGAACTCGTGCCTGCTAGCTAGCTAAAGTAGCCAGCTACCGTAGCTGGAGTCAGCCAACTGCATTCAGCGCGCTCGTTCGCTGCTGAAAGGCGCTTGCTTGATGAAATATGCAGGCTGAGGTCGATGGCACGTCTGAATATGATTGGGCGCTGCATGCAGCTGCGCGAATACAGTCTGCGCGCAGATTGTATTGGAAGCCTTTTGAATTGACTTTACATCGGGACCGTTGCGCCAGCTGCTTGGGCTCGATGACCGCTCGTGTGCCCTTTTGCAGAATCAATCAGTTTCTGAAGATGGCTGTTGAGCTGGGCCTGGGCGCTGCAGCCCGATGCGCTCAAATGCAGACTGCGCCCGCCTGCCGCTGCTGTGCCTCGACTCGAGCGCAATCGCAATCGACTCGCTCGCCTCGCTGAGCTCCCCCGCCTTGGGGCCCTGAATTGCTGGAGCAACGACCGACCAACCGAGCGAGACCGCGGCAGGCGCGCGGCGGTGCGGCGGTGCAGTGGTGTAGACAAGCTCGCTGCTGCTGCTGCTGCTGCTGCTGCTGCTGCTGCTGCTGCCGCTCCACGGCGCGCGCTCCAGCCAGGTCTCGCTCGCAGCCTCGCCTCGCGCTGCCGCCCATCTCGCCATGCAGCGCTATCCCCGCGTCTCGAGCTCGCTCTCGGCGCCCGTTCGCGGTCGATCGCCCCTGGCTCTCGTGCCTTGCCTCGCCTCGCCTCGCCTCGCTCCTGGTGGCTCTCTCTCGAGATACGACGCTTAGCTGTCCTCCCCCACTTTCTTGAACCTGCTCTCACGATCACCAACTCTCTTACCGTCCGTTCCTCGCTCGCCGCTGCATCTGGTCGTTCGTGGCAGAGACCCGTCGGATTGGTCCGAAGTCCAAAGTCGACGCGACATCCATCACATCGCTCTTCACACGCCTCGCATCCGACTCGGCGATTCTCCGATACGAGCCCATCCAGCCCGACTGCCACCTGGCTTGATCACATCAACTGCATTCACTCGCCTCGCCTTCGGCTTCCATCCGACCACACGCACGTCTCTTTTCCTGTCACACGCCCTGACTCACCATCCACGCCACCCCAGCGTGATTAGTGCTCTTACCAGCGCTTTGCCACGCAATCCCGACGCTGCCCTTTCTTGTCACAATTCTATCGCAAGGTCATCTGATCGCGGATCTTCCCCGAATCGCTCGGCGTTGCTTTACAGTCTCTAGCTGCTCCCATCGCATTCAAAGCTCCAACCTCCGTCTCAATTCGTCTCAACTACATCTGCGCAATCCACAAACCGCAACAGAGCTGTTCGCAAGTGCTCCGATCACAAGTCCGAGCTCAAGGGAGATGGACATGCATGCCACCATGTCTGCCTATCAGGGTTCCGGTGCCAACAGCCCTGCCATCGGCCACGGCCCCACCCATCAGTTCTCCAACCCCATCCCCGGAACCTCGCTCACCGCACCAGCCTCGCCATCCGGCGCCTACACCGCCTCGGCACTCGCCTATGCCAACGCCCAGCTCTCGCAGTATGCCGCCACGGGCGGTGCCGCTGCCATCCCCGCCCACCTCAATCCGCATGCGTTGAGCTCCGCCCTCTCCGACTACTCGATCAGCCTGCCCAACTCGGCCGCCTCGTCGCCCGGCGCCACGCCGCGTCGTCTGCCCGGCACAGGCACCTCCACACCGGGCGGAAACTCGCGCGTCGCCGCCAGCGCCATCACCGGCAAGCGTCTCAACTGGAGCGAGATGATCTGCCAGACCATCGCAGAGAGCGAGAGCGGTCGCCTCGTCATCCAGGATCTCTTCGAGGGCATGTGCGCCAAGTTCCCCGAGATCCGCGAGTGGGCCTTTGGCAAGGACTGGGAGGCGCGCGTCAAGAACCGCATCAAGTCGACGCTCTCCATCAAGGGCAACCTCTTTGTCAAGGTGCCCAGGCCCAGCAGCGCTGCCGGCAAGGGCAGCTGGTGGACGCTCAGTCCCGAAGCCCAAGAGGCGTGGAAGACAGGCCGCGTGGCCAATGTGGTGAAGAACAACGCCCACAGCCGCGCCGGCAGCGCCGGCCCGAGCTCCATCCACGGCTCGCCCGTGCGCACCGTCAGCTCCAAGTTTGGCCCGGCCTCGCACGCGGCGAACCCACCTTACCTCATTCAGAACTCGCATACGCACCAGAACCACAGCCAGCGCACCTCGCCGCTTGGTCTCGGCCTCAACCAGACCGCGCAGTACCACTCTCCGCTCGCCAACAACTTTAATTTCGGCGACTCGATGTCCATGATGCCCAACAGCGCGTCGCAGCCCAGCGCCCTGCCCAGCAATCTGGCGCTTGGCGGTGGAAACGACGATGCCAACCTCAGCCTTGGTCAGCCACAGCAGCAGCAGCAACAACAACAACAGCAGCAGCAGCCTGTCAGCTCGCAGTCCATGCAGGACCAGGCACAGAGCGCGCAAGCCACCATGGCGCAGAACTTTGCCAACCTGGGTTTCATGCAGGCCAATGCACCGCAGCCGCTCGGCTCGGCACAGAGCGTGCCCCACCTCGGCGGTCCGCAGTCGATGCCCTTCCCTGCGCAGGGTCAAGACCTGTCCGCCGCCAACTTGGCAGCGTTTGCCAACTTTACCAACACCGACTATTCGGCGCTATTTGCAGGCATCCCCGGCTTTGACGCCAGTGCGTTTGCCAATGCGACGAATGGCAACAACAACAACGGCCAAGTCAATCTGGGAATGGGCGCGTACAACATGGAGCAGAACAATCACCCATTCGGCGGCAGTCTGCCTGGCGCGTACACGCTGCTCCAGAATCAGCAGCAACAGCAGCAGCAGCAGCAGCCTCAGCAACAGCAGCAGCAGGCTCAAGGCGGCAACAACAACAACAACAACAACATGATGTACCCGGGTTTCGGCGCTGGCATGTACGCGAATCTGCAGCAAGGCTCGCAGCCGATGGGCGGAGGGCAGCCGCAACGGCAGGACGCCGACCAGAGCCAAGCGCAGAACAACTCGTCGCAGCAGTCTCAGCAGCAGCAGCAGCAAGGGCAGCCTGCATCGCAGCCGCAGCAGCCCCAGCAACAACAACAACAACAACAACAACAACAACAACAACAACAACAGCAACAGCAAGGGCAGCAGGCTGGCCAGAACAACAACACCAACGGCGGCGGCGGGATGGCCTCGGGCTTCACAGGCAACTTTGCGGGCTCGAGTCCTTTCGCGCCGAGTAACGGGCTCGAGGGGCCGTCGCCTGCGGACTCGACGTGGTTTTCGTTTACGCCGCTGGTGCAGGCGACGCCCGACGCCAACGACACCTCGTCGGCGCTCGGTCAGCTCGGCGGGGAAGGCTCGCGCAAGCGTCGCACCTCGGACACTCTGCGCGACCTGAACGACTTTCAGCTGCCACCACCCCAGTCCTCATAGATACCTTTTTGTTTCGGCTTTCCTCCTCTCTCTCTCTCAACAAAGGCGCACCAATGTATCCTTATTCTTATCCCTCGTCGTCCCCTTTTTTTCTTTCAATGAAATCCTCTCTCTAAAGTGGATTGGCAGTGTTTCGGCAATGTCTGTTTTGAGTGAGGTTTTGTCGCTGCACCACCGACTCGTGCCCACGCTCCAGTCGTGCAACTCCCTGTGGCACTGCAATAGCACACTGTGCCTCTCACTAATCCGCTCTTCCACCTACACCACATAACGTTAGTGGAGGTCAGGTTTATATTCGGCATAGGAGGAGGTGCAAGCCTTTACCATCCCCCGCTCTTGCTTGGGTGTGGCTGTCTCACCGCCTTGCGTGTTGAGATAGCCCTTCCTCTGCTGGTGATGACACAGTTCATCCCACTTTCGCTTCACCTCCGGGGGGAACGAGCACCGACGTCTCTTTCCTTTTGGCCTCCAGAATCAGCTTGCTCATTGAAAGGCGCTCGAATTTCGCTTCGGAGAAGCTCAACGCTTGACCATGCTCGCACTTGGGTAAAAGACGACGATCAAATAGAAGCAGTTGGCAAAGATCAAACGAGCTACTCGAGTGGGAAAGCCACACGGATTCTGCGATCCGAATAGCACTTACGCATACAGCAGTGTGAATCAATGACCGCCACACTCGTCGACACAAAGAAGGATTTCAGGGACAGGGTCGCATTCGTACAGACAAGACGCAAAACAGCGCATAGACTCCTCATGTCAAAAGGAGTGCAAGGGGTCTTGGTCGCATCGGCCAATGCTCACCCAACCCAAACAGTCCCCACACTCCACACACTACTCTAAAACCCCCAGTCTCCAAGACACGATCAAGGTTGCGTTGAGTAAGTACTCGCTCTGCTGCTGCTGGCACATGCGAAACGACACCACTCTCAACACAAACCCATCGCACGCTCAAGTCCCAACTTGACGCTCCCTAACGCCCTGCGTGGCAAATCTAGCTCCTCGCGCATCCAAGCGACCGAAACAACCATCAGCCCTTTTCTACCGCTGCACGTCCAGACCGTCAACAGCCACGACTCCAACAAAGACGAGCCGGATATGAGCGTCGACCCAGATACGACCAAATCCCGTGGAACCGCACGTGGCGCGGTGAATGCGATCAAGATCTGTACGAGCAGGCTGCGCACCAAGTCGCTCATCCGAGTCGACAAAATCAAGCCCCTCTCCACACGGCTCCTCGTCTCACAGGCACACAGCACAAACAACATCGACCAGGCTGCATCCATCACGGATCATCTCGAGCATGCATTTGATCGACCGCTCACATTTGCGAAAACGCAAATCCCAAGCTCGGCAGCACGCCCAAGTCCCCGCTCTCCACGCTTCATCCCGGTCGAAAAGTAGAATCGCGCTCCACGCGGCTCCTCATCTCGGCACCACACTGAAGGACATTAGGAACCGGGATGCATTCGTCACGCGAGAGCCGACAGCAAAGGGCGGAAAGAATCGTCACGGGCGTCAAAGGCGGGTGTGCGCGCGCAGGATCGCTGCGCGCTCGCCTATCTATTAAGAGTGCAGATTGGGGGCGGAGAAGGGCTTGTTGGAGAGAAAAGGTATGTCGCTACGCGGAGACGGGGGAATCATCGTGCATGATCGAACCTTGTCGGGTTCGGGGGGGTATAGCCAGACCAGGGATAGCGTTGGGCGCACGACGACGACGGCGGGGTGAGCGTCGCCGTGCGTTGGTACCCAGCAAACAAAAAGAACCGAGCGAGGACAAAGACAAGAAATCAGGAGAGCCAGACCCGGGAGGAGGAATCCGAGAAGGGCATGCGAAGAATCCAAAGAAAAGGGGAGGAAGGCGAGGGGGCTGCTTAGGCGGCGGCAGCGACGGGAGCCGCCGACTCGGGAGCCTTGACGGCAGGGGCGGCAATCACGGCGACGGGCTCGGGGGCGGCGGTGACGTCCTCGGCGACCTTCTCCTCGACGGGAGAGGCGGTCTCCTCCTCGGCAGCGGCGGCCTCGGCGGCGGCGGGCTTCTCCTCCGACTTCTTGGGGGCGGCCTTGGCGAAGAGGGCGCCAAACTTGCCGCTGAGACGACGGCCGAGCTTGATCTTCTGGGCGGCAACGTCGGGGGCGGGAGCGTCCGCCTTGGCCGACTCGTCGATCTTGACGTCCTTGGCGGCGGCCTCCTCGGTGGTGGTGGCAACAGCGGGAGCAGCGGCCTCCTCGGTGGCGGCAGGGGCGGCGGCCTCGTCGACGGCGGCGGGGGCCTCGACGGCAGCCTCGGTGGTGGTGGGCTCAGCAACGGCGGCGGTCTCCTCGGTAGCAGGGGCGGCGGCGCCGTCGGTGGCAGCGGCCTCCTCGACGACGGGCTCCTCCTTGGTGGCGGCGGTCTTCTCCTTCTTGGCGGTCTTCTCCTTGAAGGCGCCGATGAGCTTGCCGATGAACGACTGGCGCTTCTCCTTCTTGGGCGAGGCCTCCTTGGCGGCAACCTCCTCGGTGGCAGCAGCGGGCTCCTCCTCGGTAGCGGCGGCGGCGACGGGAGCAGCGGTCTCCTCGGTCACGGCAGCCTCAGTGGCAGGCTCGGCGGCAGTCTCGACGGCGGCGGGGGCAGCCTGATAACGCAAAAAGAGAATTGCGAGTGACGGTCAGTGCTGTGAAAAAAATGCGGAATGGATAGAGAGTGGGGTTACGTACGGTCTCGGTAGCAGCAGGGGCCTCCTCGACGACGGGGGCGGCCTCAGCAGCGACGGGGGCAGCCTCGACGACGGGAGCGGCAGTCTCCTCGACGGCAGGGGCGGGGGCGGCGACCTCCTCGACGGGAGCGACGACAGCGGGGGTGGTCTCGGGAGCGGCAGACATGGTGAATATGAGAGAGTGGTCGAGAGGGGTATAGGTCGAGGTTGGTTACGACGATTGAGATGGATGGAGAGGAGGGGAGAGGCAAGGCGATAAGCGACGGGCAGTCGAGTATATAAAGGTGATTGGGGCGGGAGCGCTGGCGAGGCCAAGGCTGAGCACGCCAAAGGCGAGCGGAAAAGAGCATTCGCTGTCTTTCGTTGCCTTTCTCTCGCCGAGGCGGCCACACGCCACACCAGCACACCAGCACACCAGCACACCAGCACGCACGCACGCACGCACGCCGCCAAGGGAAGGGACAGCGAGGCAGCGAGAGGAGGAGGCCGGTGCAGATCCATTGTGCCCCCTTTCTCTCCCTCTCTCTTTCGGGCATCACACGCGCGTCACGCACCAGTCACACGCCCTCACAGGCAGGCAGTCACACCTGCCGTGGCATGCCGTGGCACCTGCACAGAGGGGAGGAGGGGGAGAGAGTAAGTTTGAGTGGCGGTGGGTTGCGCTTGCGGTTGGGCTCAGCCGAAAAGAAGCTGCTCGAGTGCAGTCGGAGGTGCAGGTGTTGCGGCGCAGCAGGCGTGTCAAATGAAGCCTGACGCAAGTGGGCGAGGCTCGGGCGCGCGCGCACTCGCTCTCTGTGATAGGCTCACCCTCTCACTCTCGCCCTGCGCAGCACCCGCAGAGGTCTGGCGCCACCCGACGAGTGTTGGAGGAGGAGGCGGGCCGAGCCGCGTGCATTCGGGTGGGTACAGTGTCGTGATCCGCGTTGCATCGGCACGAGAGGCAGGGGCGGCTTGCAGAGGCAAGGGGCGAGCTGCAGCACTTTGTTCGTTTAATTAATTGGACAGCCCGCCAGCAACACTCCAACAAAAAAAAAAAAAAAAAAAACTTAAAAAAAAGATAGGGTGTTGGCAAGGGTCGTCGGAAGAGAGGGCTCGATCCAGTGTGAAACCGCCTTTTTTTTCGAGAGCGGCCTCGTGATTGTTTGCGACGGCCCGCTTCGTGTGCCGCGTTCGGATAGGCTGCGGGTGTGAAGCAGCTGCATATTCTTACGCGCCGGCATCCGCCCGTTGGACAGTTGAGACAACACAGCTGAGTTCCCTGCAACCTCTTTTCTTTGCTGCTTAACTCTACGGAAACGCGACGTCAGATCGAGGTGTCGGTAGGGTGCCGAATTCACTTCCCTCTGGCTTACGCTGAATGCTCGACCCTGCGCCACTGCGGTGCGGATTCAGTGTGGCGGGCTGACCATCGTTTTTTTTTCTGATTGCGTGTGCATCAAGTCGGATTTTCTCGTGCATCAGACGTGCATCGAATTGGGAATGCTGCACTTTCTCGACATCTCCGTCGGCCCTCTTCCGTCTCTCACTCAAGCCTGTGATGATCCCTTGGCACCCCTGCGCTTGGACCTTGCCACCCGATCGCCTGACGCCAGATGAAGAGTGCGCGCTCTGAAAAAGTCGGTCGAATGCCGTCGTGGATGTCGTTACCAACGGTGCCGAACGTCGCGTCTCGCTTGCATCTTTGCCAGGGCGATCAGGGTTCAGCTGGCCGGGCCTTTTTTTTTCTTTTTCTTTTTCTTTTTTTTTGTTATTTCATTTCTCTCCAGCTGCACCGATCCCCTGACGGAATCCAAGGCAGCGTCCGAACGCCCGACGTCGCGCGCGCGTGCTGGGTGTGATCTTGCATCTGACAGCTTGGCATTGGCAGTTCGAGCCCATGCTAGTCAATCTGTACGACTTTCTCCCTGCACACAATCTGGCAAATGCTACTGGTCGCATCGAGTTTGATGTGAGTTGGTTCAAACTTTCAATCTCTACCGCAGGCGTCAGTTGAAGGGTCGCAGCAACACCGCAAGCCCAAGTTTGGTGGTGTGGCTGCGTGTTTTCTGCACGGAGCCTCTCTCTCATTGAAATTTTCCGTAGCGGCGCTCGAAAAAAAAAACGGCCACAGCCAAACGAATCGATAGCGCCGGACCTCCTCTCCTTTCCCCTGCCTTGGTCGCAGGAGCAATGAGGACGAGTGCGGTGCCTGCACGTCGGAAGCATGCGCAGGGCGCTAGAAGAACAAAAAGAGACGAGTCATTCGGCTCTGGCGAGGCGACCGACGAGGTGCATGCGCCATGCACGAGCTGCATCCTGATCGACCCGCTGCAGCCAATAAGACAGCCAACACGCGCACACACCCACCGCCCGCCCCCTTTGTTTTTCAGGCATCGGGCGCCCCGAGTCCAGTTTGCAAACTCGACCACCCGCTTGGATCGTGACGAGCATCTTGGCGGAAGAATACTTGGAACTGTTAGACCGTTAGCTCTTGCAAGAGTGTGTCGTCACGGCTCTAACACGTTGAAACTCGCGCCTCAATTTCACGCTTCACGCACCCGCTGCTCGTCACCGCGGCCGACTGACAGTGCTGCCAGGAAGGCGCCTCCACACCGCCTCTGTTTCGCCGCAATTGGAACGCAGGCGGGAGCGCAGTGCAAATTCTTCTTGTCGCCCCGTCGATCGAGTGACGCCCAAAAGCGAGCAAAAGCGAGTGGCCCGTCCGCCCAGCACCGATCAAGTGCTGTGTGCTCTCGCTCGTCATCCTTCCAACCACATCCATCCATCCATCTCTCTCTGTCTATCAACGTGGACGAGCGCTTCTCCCTTGGATCCTCCCCACGTTTGCCATCAATCACAATGGCTACCAACGGAGGCCGCTTTGCCTCGCGTACCGCCTTCGAGGCACTCCAGGTCGAGGAAATCGAGTCGGACGAGGAAGAGGTGGTCGAGCAGCAGCAGCAGCCTCAAAAGCAATCTTCGCCTGCAAAGCCTTCCGCACCCGCCACCGCCAAGAAGCAGGCTGCAAAGGACAAGGCTGCCGGCGCCAATGCAAACGCCAAGGTCGAGTCGGGTGCGAAGCCGGTGCACCCCGCCAGCACCCCCAACGCCAACGCCGACGACGCCGCTGCTGCCGCTGCACCCGCTCCCGTAGCTCAGCTGCAAAACGGCTCCAACGGCCAGCAGTCTCTGCCTTCCGCTGCGGCTGAAAAGCTCGGAGCCCAGAGCAAGGTCACTCCTACGCCGCCTGCACCCTTTGCTGCCTCGGCACCCAAGCAGGCCGCTGCTGCTCCCGCTGCTGCTCCTGCTGCCGCTCCCGCCCCCAAACAGGAGCAGCCCAAGCCAGCTGTCCAGCCGCAGTCCATCCTGGCGCAGGCTTCCAAATCGGTTGCTGCTGCCGGCAAGGAGGCAGTGCAGACCACCAAGTCGCACATCGCACCGCGAGCTGCGCAGCCCGAAAAGCAAAAGGCGCCAGCGAACGAGAGCGCCGAGGACGCAGCGGCGGCGGCCAAGGCCAAGTGGAAAAAGATCTACGAGCGAACGCTGTTCACGTTCATCATGATCGGCGCGTTCATTGCGCTTCTGCTGCTGGGCCATCCGTACATGATCCTGCTGGTCATGGTGTCGCAGACGCTCGTGTACCGCGAGATTGTGGCGCTGTTCAACATTCCGGGTCGTCCGTCGGTGACGGGCGGTGGACGCTCGAGCCGCATGTCGTCCGCACCCACCAGCGCGGCGACGAGCGAGGTGGACGACGACGAAGAGGACGAGCGCATCCGCAGGCGTCTCGAGGGCCGCCGCGAGGAGCTGTGGTCCAAGTCGCTCAGCTGGTACTTTTTCGCGGTGGCCAACTACTTTTTGTACGGCGAGTCGATCATCTACTACTTCAAGCACATCGTCTTTGTGGACGCCTACTTTATCCCGTTCGCCCGGCACCATCGATTCCTGTCGTTCATGCTGTACGTGTTTGGATTCATGGCGTTTGTGTCGAACCTCAAGCGGCGCAACCTCAAGCATCAGTTTGGGCTGTTTTGTTGGGTGCACATGTCGCTGCTGCTCATCGTCTTCTCGAGCCACTTTATCGTCAACAACATCCTCGAGGGTCTGATTTGGTTCTGGGTGCCGGCGTCGCTGGTCATTTGCAACGACGTGTTTGCCTATATTTGCGGCATGACGTTCGGCAAGACACCGCTCATCGATCTCAGTCCCAAGAAGACGGTCGAGGGATTTGTGGGTGCGCTCGTGGTGACCGAGGTGTTTGCCTACGGTTGGGCAACCTTGTTCCAGCGCTTCAACTACATGATCTGCCCCGCGGTCAGTCTGGGCATGAACGCCTTCAAGGAGATCACGTGCGAGCCCAATCCGGTCTTCCACTGGCATTACCTCTCGCTTCCGCCTGCGGTGTCGTCGTTGGCATCGTCCGTGGTGGGTCACAGGGTGTCGGCGCTGCCGTGGACGTATTTCCAGCTGCATGCGCTCGTCATGGCTGCCTTTGCCAGCTTGGTCGCGCCGTTCGGAGGATTCTTTGCGAGCGGCTTCAAGCGCGCGTTCAACATCAAGGACTTTGGCGACAGCATCCCCGGCCACGGTGGACTCACCGACCGATTCGACTGCCAGTTCCTCATGGGCCTCTTTTCGTACGTCTACTACTCGTCGCTCATCCGCGAGCACCATGTGACCGTCGGATCCGTGCTCCAGACCGTTGTGACGCAGCTCACGCTCGACGACCAGCTGGAACTCTACTCGGAAATCAGCCGCTACCTCGTGGGCCAGGGCAAGCTGCCCAAGGCCCGATGAGCTGCCCATCTCGTCCCAAACCCTTTGCTCCCTTCCCTGCTCTTCTCCTGTAATGCTATCTGCACACAGCACGACCAATCCCAGACTCGCATTCCTCCGGACTTGCCTTCTTCGAGAGGTGTGTAGTTTGATGTTGATCCCTTTTGGTTGATTTAAACGTGGATTTTTGGCGACGCGATTTTTGGGGCGATTTATTTTTGCGTTGATTTTGGTGGGTGCAGCAGCTCGGCCGTGTTGATGCTCTGCTCCACAGTCGAAATCCCACCGAACAAACGTGACCGGCTGAGCCGAGCTGCGCATCCTCGAAATGCTCCAAAGGTCCGTTGGCTTGAATCGAGGCAACCAATCATCAACACCAACATCATCACCATCACTCGTCGTCGCTTGTCGCTCGACACAACATCAACCATGTCTCTTTCCACCTAGACTCGCCGACTGCAGCATGTCGCTCTGGTCGCTATCAGCCGAGGCGGGGCCTTCGCGCCCAACTCAGGCTCCGCTTTCGCCCACAAAGATGCCCGTGGCCAACAAGCACGAGTCACACGTGCCGACGTTTCTGGTCCGATCCGCAACCGAACACGATCTGTACCATGCCGAGCGCAAGTCGCTCCATACTTTCGCCTACGGAGGGCTCGCGCAGTCGGCACCGTCAGACGCGTCCAATGGCATCTCTCCGCCGCCGTTTTATCGCGCCACCTTTTCGAACCCGTCGTCTTCGTCCGTGTCCTCGGGCGGTCATCCCATATCGCCGTCGCATCGAACGTCGTTTAGCTCGGTGTCCGTGTCGGAGTTCGGCGGGTCTGCGATCAGTGATCGGCTCAGCTGGGGACGCAGCTTCAAGAGGCAGAGCAAACGCGCGTCGCACGACGCCAAGTTCGGTTCCAGCAGCCGACTACGATCCCACACCGAGGGCTCACAGTTCAGCCTGCCCAACAGCGGCGACATCTTTCTATATTCCAGCCACAATATCGAAGCGTCGGCCTCGGACAAGACGATCCAGCCGCGGTACTTGCACCAGCGTCGCAAGTCGGACGGGCCGCAGAGATCCAGATTCGACACGGGCGAAATGAGCTTGCCGAGTCGCAGCCATCGTCTGCCGCGATCGCAGTCGTCCAATGCTCTCTCACATGCCTTCTGGGATGCACGCAGCTCAAAGCACCAGTCCAAGACAAGCACTCACGCTCTCAGCCTCGTCAAGGATCAAGACGAGCACGGCCCCGCTGCTCTCCCCCGCGTCAGCATTCCGAGCTCGCCTCTGCGCGAGTCCGAGACGTTCGATGCTGCCGATCGCTTCGCCATGATGGCCTCCAGCTCGTCGTCCAAGGCGCTGCGCAGAAGGTCGGGCGAGGTGGTGGGCGTTGCGGCTCGTTCGGCGGCCCAGGCTACAAGAAAGAGCCTGCGCGTCATACGCAGAGCAGGTAGCTTCGACGTAGCCTCCAAAACGTCTACGACCAACACGCGTTCACGATCCAACTCGTCCTCGTCGCTTCTAACGAGTCTGGGGCTCGTGTCCATGCGACATCAGCGATCTCAGACGCTGCACGAGCTAGACACCCCGCGCAACGACACCCCTAAGCTCGCTCTGCCTGCATCCGCACCTCACTCGCCGAGACTGCATGGACTTGGGTTGAGTGCGGACTCTAACAGGGCTCAGGCATGGCGGTTCTCGCAAATCACAGAAGCGGATGAGAATTCCTTCTCCAAGGAGGTGCCTCGTCTGGAACAGCAAACGGAATCCACGCCCGAGTCGGAAAGCGAGGGTCTGCAGTTGCACCACTCCAATTCGTCTGGCGGGTCAGTGCCAAATGCGCAATCCGCCGCCCCGTCAACCAAGCACAACGATTCGGGTGAGGCGAATTCGGTCATGCGGTCCGAAGCAGGGCGTCGGCACGGGCTGGCAAAACGATCCTACGCCGCGTTGATCGATCTGCTCAATCCGGCGTTGCACAAGGAGATCAGGCCCGTCGGTCGTGGACGTCAAGACTCGATCCACACCGTCGAGCATACCGTCGCGCACGGCGACGACGGTGGCAGGTCCACTTCGGCAGGCGGCAGCTCGAGCAACGGCGCAGGCAGAGCGCGCGGCGGCAGTGCCAGTCGATCCAACGGTGCTCACGAAGGTTTCAACGCCTACAGAGGCGGCAATACGGGCGGTGGTGGCGGCGGAGGAAGCGGGGCGGGCGGTGCAGGAGGGGGCGGCCCGCCGGATCGCAGAGGCCCCGGACGCGGTGGCGGCAGCAACAGTGCATCCAAGACTTTGCCGCCCGTCAACTCGGTGTATCGCCGACTGGAGCTTGTGGGGCGAGGAGCGTACGGTGCAGTCTACCGAGGCGTGCACGTCGAAACCGGTGCAGCGGTTGCGCTCAAAGTGGTCAACCTCGACACGCCCGACGACGACGTAAGCGACATCCAGCGCGAAGTGACGCTGCTGAGCCAGCTGCGCGAAGCTACGCAGCGCAACGTGGTGCGCTACTGGGGCTGCTGGCTCAAAGGACCCGAACTCTGGATCGTCATGGACTTTGCCGATGGTGGCAGCGTGCGGACGCTCATGAAGGCGGGGCCGATTGCGGAGCGCTACTGTGCGGTGATAGTGCGCGAGACGCTGGTGGCGCTCAACTACCTGCACAAGTGCGGGATTATCCATCGCGACATCAAGGCGGCCAACATTTTGCTCACCAGCATGGGCAAGATTTTGCTGTGCGATTTCGGCGTGGCGGCATCGCTGGCGTCGAGCAGCCATAGCAAGAGAAGCACGTTTGTGGGCACGCCCTACTGGATGGCACCCGAAGTGATCACTGAGGGTAAGACGTACGACCAGAAGGCGGATGTATGGAGTCTGGGCATTACGATCTACGAGATGGCGACGGGCAATCCACCACTTGCGGATGTGGAGCAGATGCGGGTCATCATGCTCATCCCCAAGAGCAAGCCGCCTCGTCTACCGGAGGGCGAATTCTCGCCAGCGATGCGAGATTTTGTGGCGGCGTGTTTGAACGAGGAGCCCAAGGAGAGGGCGACGTCCGAGGAGCTGAATAAGCTCAAGTGGATCAAGACGCATGCCAAGACGCCCGTGGGGGTGCTCAAGGAGTTGATTCAGGCGTACAATGCGTGGACCAAGGCGGGCGGGATGCGGATGAGCCTCATCGGTGCCGAGACGGCCGATTGGGGCGAGGCGGGCAATCGCGACTCGTTTGCCTTTGATGGACGGGAGACGGGAGAGGGGTGGGAGTTCAATACGCTCCGCAGCGCGCGCGAGTGGGACGACGACGAGGCCGATGAAGCGCCGGCTCAGATCCCGATTCGTGACCATCCGCTGCTGCGCCTGTTTGATGTGGATGCACCTGATGCGGCTGCGGGCGGTCAGCGTGGTGGGCAGACGGAACACAACACGTGGCGTCCGGCGATTGCTACTGCGGCAGTGGCGGGTGGGACGGKGCGTGCTGCACCAGCACCGCCAGCACCGCCTGTGCCCGTGGTGCCGGTGGAAGCGCCAAAGGCTGCGGGGGGTTCGACGATCAAGCCTGGGGTGGGTGGGGTGGAGAAGGCGAGTTTTACAGGCACGGGTCATACGCCTTTTCGCTTCGGAGTTGGTGGGGCCGCGTCTGCGGCCGAGGTTCGGCAAGTGCCGATACGCAAGCGGTCGCAATCGCTCACCAAGCCGAGCACCAGCACGGACGGGATCGTCATTCCCGACTCTACGTCTCTTGACCTCGCCGCAGCTGGCTCGGCGCTGGAAGGTGTTGAGGAGGTAGTTGCGCATCATCGGCAATCGCACGGGGGGAGTGATCCGATTTCGGGCGCTGCATCCCCCGCGCGACTGCAGAGTCTCTACGAACGCGGCGCCAACGCCCAAGCCTACAGTCGCATTGCCCGTCTCCGTGCCGGCTATGTCGCCAGCCTCGAACCCGATCCCGAAACCGAAGTCGGGGTTGAAGTCGAGGTGACGCCGACGGTGAGGGAGGTCAAGGTGGCGTGGGAACGGAGGTTGGAGGGTCCACCGTTGCGGCCGTTGGATTTTGCAGCCCTGGGCACCAAGGACGAGGTGGCGGCGTGTCTGGGCCGGACCGTCGATGAGCTGGGCAAGTGGCTCGATGTCATGAGTCTGGGTCTGGGCAGAGCGGTGCATGCCGACCCCGCGAGCTAGCGTAAACCGCCACCAGAAGGTTTTTTGGCAGATGTGCTCGAGCAATCCAAGTATTTGGCAACACAAAGGTTTGCGATGAACGAGCTCGAGGCGGCGTGGGGACAAGCAGCGTGGCGCAGAGTCGGAGTGGATCGACATGCCAGCAGCAATGCGACTCGACTTGGAGGATTGCTTCGCCGGCTGGAATGGGTGATGCACGTCTGCTGCGTACGGAATCGTGCTGAGTTTGTCCAAGCCTGGGCGGCGTTGGCATTCGTAGCACGGGAGCCATACTTGTTTCTGCTGTCGGGAGCCCTCTCGTCGCTTCGGCGAGCACGAATAAGTGCGCGCACCAATGCCCCACCTCAGAGAGCTGAGGAGTCAGCCTCTGCCTCCGGAAAAGAAGCCACCGAAACCTCCCTGAACACACAAGGACGGCGGTTAGGGAGATGAGGTACGGCAACCACCACCCAGATGATGCGGAAGAGGATGCAGCCCGCTCATACCCCATCCACAGCCTGAGCAGCCAGCGCAGGCAGACGTCTCTGCCCTGCAGGAAAAGCCAAAGACTGGGCAGGGCTCTGGCCCACCTGGAGCAATCGGCTGGCGCCAACATTGCCAGGCACCTCTTCAGGGAGATGCAGGATACCCGTGTCACTTGTCGCTGATGGACACGACGACGTACTTGTTCGAGAAGAGATCACTGTAGATGCCTAGACACCAGGCCACGTGTTACGTCACCCTGACTGCCATGTCAGCCTCGATGTGCGGCCGAAAGACTCGGGTGTAGAGAAGGCACGAGGCGACCGCTTCTCGGACGCCTCCCGGAGACACATGTCGAGGCTGTCAACCGAGTTTGGTGCGTCTGTTGGCTGCGAGCGCGATGCGGGCGGCAACGGTGGGTGCGAATCGTGCCGGCGCCCAAGTCGCAACCAATATCATGGCTTGGACGAAAAGAGCCCGAGCTGTCGTGGTACCACCATGCAGGCTGTTCGGATGGAGTTGGACACCGAGTTGACCCAGTCGCACGTGGTGTTGGCCATTGATTTGGACGCATAGTTGCACGCGCTTCAACGGTGACTGCGACATGGTGTCGACACATGGGCAGTGCTGCGCGTGCTGGAAACATGGGCAATAGCTGGCTTGGCTCTGAGAAGCCGGGCACGGGGGAACTTGGGTCTCGCAGCTGGAGACGCGTCTCGTCCTGTCGCGATCGGCGCCCCACGGCACTTGGCTGGTATCGACGGCACCGGCGATGGAGCCATGCATACCAGACGTCAGCACCGCAACCTTGGCGCCAAGACCAATTCCCATCGCAGCTGGAGCAGTCCACGACGCACCAAGAAAAAAGGAGTTCATCTGCTGTCGCTTGGCCATGCCGAGCCGGATTCGAGGCACAAGGCCAAGTGGCAACGGGCAGACGCGGATTTGGGACGGCCACAAGGGATGCAGTGTGGGTAGGATACCAGACGCAGTGGCTCTCGGATGGCGTAGGGCTGGATCCAACGGTGCTTCCTCACTGCGTTGGATGCGATCAAGCCTGAACGCACGCAATCGACGCGGTCAAGAGCCGAGGATGCAACTCACGCACGACAGGCTGCGTCGAGCCATGCTGCTGGCTCGAATGTCGTCAATGCCACCAGGGGCCGAGGGTAGGTGGCGCCTCCTCGCCGACCGTGCGCAGTGCGCAGTGGGACAGTTGTAAGGGCGAACCTCGTTGTTCGTCGCTGGGCACACAGGCAGCTTGGAGGCGCGTCGAGGATGCGCGCGCAGCATTGCTCGCTGGGCGTGGTGCGCTGTCGATACGAAACGGAGGGGATTTCGTGTTGCGCGCTTTCCTTTGGCACTGCTCGCCGCGCCGGTCGCCGAGCTTGGATGCCCAGATGCATGGCTCCGGCATTACTGGCCGCAAGTGCATTGAGCCCGCACCCTCGTGTCGTGAGCGAGCGGCATGGTTGAAGGCAGCCTTGACAATCGGCTCGGTCGGGCGTGCTACATTCTCGAGGCAGCGTCTACTGACCCTCCTCCGCGGTAGAGGGTTCTGCACGGTAGCAGTGCTAACCGCGCCCCCCCTTTTGTGTGGCACTTGGGACGCTCGCGCCTAGCAATGCCCACAAGATCGCGCCCCATCTTGGCAGAGTCTAGTTCGGAAGTGTTGGCGGTGGGTATAGTTCTATGCATTTGGAATGTCCAACTTGTCGGGAAAGTAGAAGCTGAACAGTAAGATCACCACGATGATCCCCAGAACGATGGAGACGGTGTAAATCGTCCAGCTAGCCATGCACTCGAATCGTGCACGTGCGCGTTGTCGGCGTCTCTCCCTTCTCCTCGTCGCGATCTCGGCTGAGTATTCGGGTAACAATGGGCCGGCTAGCTCGCGATACCCATACGGGTCGGTTGAACCGTAGGAGTGGGGGCGCGAGGTGATGCTCGAGATGATCGAGGCGGCCGTGGTGTTATCCGCATCCTCCTCGCGCAGCAACTGCCGCTCATGCGGTCCCGCAAAGATCTTGGTTAGAAGATCGTGCCACCGCTCGAGAAGGGTTTTCGATGAAGGTGGTGAAGGAGGAGAGGGGTGGGGAAAGGGAAATGTCGTCATGGAGGTGGGTCGAGTAGAATGAGAGGGTTCGTCAACGGTGTAACGCGAGGGGAAGCGGGGGACGCTGCCGACGGTGAGCGAGTAGCGGTAGGGAGGAGAGACAAGGCTGCTCCGTCGACTAGAGGGTGAAGAGGGTGAAGAGGTAGGGGGAAGGAGCGGGGCGGTGGACGATGGGCGGCTCATCGTTGGGGGTTGGAGATGGTGTTGCAAAACCTTGCCAGGAAAAAAAGGGGGTCCTGGTCGAGATGCCTCCACCCAACCACCGGCTTTTGCTTTTACCCCATCCTCACTCGCTCAATCGACACACCTCGCACTGCCAAACATTGTAGCCCAGTCGACATTTCAAACGCACACGCAGCGATGTTTGCAAGGGTGGCTATTCAACTGCTCTGGGTGGCGAGATACCACGCCACGTTCCGAATCACCTCGGTGCACGTTTCGACGCCGGGGCCATCCTCCACCGGCGGAACGTGGATGAACAACACCTTGGCACCGGTGGTGTTGGTGAGCGAGGCGTAGTAGATAAAGTCGCACACGTACCTACCTGCGTCCCAGCTCTGGTCCACCTCCAAACCCTTCCGCTTGAGCCAGCCCACAAGCTCGCCGATGTTGATTGTGGTTTGTTCGATGTCAGCGAACTCTTCGTACCCCTCTCCGAATCCGCGTCTGGAGGGGGAGAGGGAAGGGGCGAGGGAGGAGGCGGTATCCGGCTTGTCGTAGCTGTGTTTGTGAGCCAGGGATTCTAGCCGGATACTGCCGCCTCGACCTACGCCGACATGGATAACGACATCGTATCCCGAGGCAGGATGGTCGATGGGATAGCCATCGGGATACACCTGGCCTGCAGTGCCGCCGTGGGGGGAGTCCAGGCGAGGATCGTGCCAGAATGTGCCGGAGCGGGGAGTGCGGCCGTGCAGGCGCGGGACCAGGTCGAGAACGGACGAGTAGTGCACGGGTACCTGCAGCGTCTGAATCCGCACACCCTCCCCAGACTCAGAGGTTCTGTCGGGGGTGGTGGAGCAGAGTCGCATGTTGTGCAACGGCTTGACGGATAGCCAGGACGGGTTGGTAACCACCGACATAAACGGGCCGAAGCCGGTGATGAGCACATTCACTTGGCGCCGTGTAGGTGGCATGGTCGGTGGCATGGTGGATGGTGGTGCAAAAGTAACCCCGGTGCCTGTGCGCGCGTGGGGGGGGGGGGGGCTCTCGGCTAAGCAAATATCCATACCCGCATCCACCTCACCATTCCTTAGCGCAAACGTGTTGTCGCTCATCACAGCTCCAACACACAGCTCGATCACGAATCCTACGCTGAAGGCATGGCTGGCATTGACATTGGTGGTGGGGCTACTCGTCGTCGCCAAGCAGGTGTGCGTAGTCTTCGGCACTCGCAAACGTCGGCAAGTTGGCAACCGCCTTGCGCCTCTTCTTGCCCTTACCCTTACCCGCCTCCTCGGGCTCGTCGAGACTACGCTTGCGAGAGTCAAAGTCGGTGAAAGGTACAAGATCGTCGTCGTCCTCGTCGAACAGGTTGCCGCCGTCGTCGCTCATGTCGTCCTCCCAATCGGCGTTGGCGGCGGGAGAGCCGCTGTCCGAGTCGGAGAACGTCATTCCGGGAAGAACCCTTGGCCCGTCATCATCGGAATCATCCTCCTCATCCTCGGCAGCATCAGCAGCATCGCCGTCGGCCCCGTCCTCGACGTCGGAATCGACATAGTCAAACTCGTCATCCTCATCGTCACTATCCTCCATACCCTCGAGTTCTTCTTTGCCGGGCATGGTGGCCTTCATGACCTTCCAGATCTCGTTTTCATCCGCATCGTCGTCGCTATCCAACTCGCTCTCCTCCTGCTTGGCCACCTGGTCATCCGATGCGGCGAGTGCATCGTCGTCGAGGTGCGCACGCGACGAGCTGGGCTGTTTGGAGCGCAGGTTGAAGAAGCGGTGGAAGAAGAGCTGGTCCGCCGGAACGGCGTCCGCACGCTGCTTCCAGAACGTCTCGGTGTTGACGAACTCGTTCTCGTGCAGCGCGTGCGTTCGAGATCGCGTTACGCCCGCACCAACACGCGCGTGCGGGAGCGGTTGCATCGCACTCGCCCCGCGTGTGCCCGAGGTCTGCTTGGGGTTGCGGTAGACAAAGCGGTCCAGGAAGTGCGAGAGCGTGTTGAGGCTCAAGTCGGCATTCGTCGATACGGTGCTGCCTTGGACGAGTTGGAGGGCGTGTACGGAGACCGAGGGGTGGTAGTGCAGGGTGAGAGGAAGGATGTCCCATAGACAGGTGCGGCCGGCGTGGGCGAAGCGCGGATCGCGTTTTCGGCCATCGTACTTCTCCCCCCCAGCATCGGCGGTGCGATTGATTCCGGTTTGTGGGGATTCGTCGGCGTCGGAATCGACGTCGTGGAAGTGCTCGTCGTCGTCGTCTTCCGGTTCGGTAAGCATAGCTCGCAGACCAGGTGTGCGGCGGAAGAGCTCGCCGAGCAGATGCAGACATCCGCACACAAACGACGGCTGGTGCAGACTCAAGATCTGGCACAGACGCTTGACAAACGCCTTGACGCGCTCGGCGTCGGCATCGGCCTGGAGCGCCTGGAAGACGAGGTTGAGGTACATGGCTTGTTTGCTCGACGCCGCCAGACGCGCATCCAGCAGCGAGTCGTACAGCACGCGGTAGAATCGATCGCCAATCGCACCCGATGCCAGCACGGCCGAGCTCGCATGTGCGTCCGAAACGCTGAGCTGGAAGATGAGCTGGAGCGCCTGGATGCTCACGTTGAACGAGGCGGTGTGCAGGATCTTGAACAGCGTGTTGAGGTGCTTCTCAAACACCGCCGGCTCGATCTTGGCAAAGGGGAATGCGCGACGCACGCCCGTGAGGATCGCCACCACCATCTTGGATTCAGCATCCTTGACCAGCTTGGGCTCCTCGCGCGTCTCGGTCTTGGCGGGCTTGCTCTTTCGACCGCGTCCCTTGCGAGGCTGGTCCTTCCACCGCTTCTTGTCCTTCTTCTTGGGCTCTTCGGTGTCTTCCTCGTCGACGATACCGGCAGCTTCCTTGCGTTCGGACTGGCGCAAGATGCCTTCGAACAGCTCAAAGTAGAGCAGGATGAGGTGGTTGGCCGTGGCGTCGTCGCGCGCAGTGAGCACGGTCTGGTTGAGCGTGAGCACGCCATAGTAGCGTGCATGCGTCGTATGGTTGCTCACCTTGCCCTCGTCATCCGCGCCCGCAGGTGCAGAAGGGCGCATGATGAGGTTGGCGATCTCGCGGACCACGATGAACTTCATGGCCGGGTGTGCGGTGAGGAGCTCCAGAATGTGGTTGCTGGTCTTGGACGCCACGCTGCGCTCGGGGTCGCCGAGCTTGTTGACGAGCAGACGCAGCAGGTTCTGTTCCTGCTCCGGCTTGTCGCGCAGCAGGATGTACACCTGCGTCGTGGCCTGCTTGCGGGTAAAGGCGATGGTGTCGTGCGACTGCACCTCGAGCACCTGCAGAAACTGGAAGTAGAACTTCTTCAGATGGTCCTCGAACGCCCACAGCAGCAGATGCGATTTGGCCGCTTCGGCAGCCGAGGGGTCGCTGGACGACAAGGCGGCCGAGGCAGAGGCGAGTTGGGGCTGGTCGCGAAAGTAGCGCAGCTTGCGAGAGCCGAGACCGCCTTCGCTGGCGAGCCAGTCGGCAAGTGCGCGTGTGGCGCGGCTTGCTTCCTCGCGGCTCTTTTTGCGCGTCATGGCGAGGAGCGTGTCCATATGCTTGACGTTGTGCACGGGGCTGCTCTGGACGAGCAGCGTGAGCGCCGAGATGCGGTCCGAGAGCGTGCCGCCGCCTTCGGAGGAGAGGAGGGAGCGGACGAACTGGGCGTCCGAGGCGGTGAGCGTGCCGATGCTGCCGCCGGCGCGGTTGAGCGAGGTCTCGCTGCTGGTGAGGTCGTCGTAGGCGCGCGCCTCTTGGCGCATCAGCTCGGCGCCCAGATCGAGCAGGTGGGTGATGCGGTCGTGCCCGAGCTCGTCGTTGCTGCCAGAAGCGGGCAGATTGGGCAGCGACTGCGACATCCACTGCGGAACGGCTTCAAGTCGCAGCGGACCGCGCGAGGTGTGCGAGGGCTTGTGCTTGGTCTCCTTGCCGACACCGTCGTCGTCAAAGACCATCTTTTTGCCCTTGCCCATACGCTGTGCGGTAGTGCTTTCTGCCACCGCTGCCGGTTGCTGTCGAGTCTTTGCCTCGGTCTGTTTGCTCTTCTGCTTGGCGGCCTCCTTTTCCTTTCGGGCTTGCGACTTGTCTGCTGGTGCTTCGGGGGCATTCTTCTTTTTGGAGTCGGGCTTGGTGGTGCTAGCTGAAGCAGCGGCGGGCTTGGCGTCCTTTTGCTTCTTGGTGGGAGTTGCCGAAGCAGCGGCGGGTTCAGAGGCGGTAGGATCGGACTGGAGCTGCTTGAGGAACGCGGCGACTTCGGTGGAGAAGGCGGCCTCGTCGATGTTGACGTCCGACTTGGACTTTGCGTTTGCCTTGGAGATGAGCTCGAGATCTTCTCTGGATCCGCCGAAGCTCTGGATCTCGCGCATCAGCGTGTCTTCGTCCGCACTGTCCTCGGAATCGAATGCATCCTTCTTCTTGCTGCTGCTGCTCTTTTTGGTGGGTGTGGGCTTGCTCGGCGTCGACTTGGCGGGAGCGGACGAGGTTGTGACTGGCTTGGTGGGTGTGGGCTTTGGCGTGCCGTTGGTGGATGCCGAGGCAGCATGAGCAGCTGCTGGTCGGCCAGTGCCGGACTTGGCGCCCTTGGGTCTAAAGTCCCTCGCCATGGTTGGATGGTGTGGTGGAGAGATGGTGGGGAAGGAGGAGCTTTGCCGGTGAAGAGAGAGAAAGAGAGAGAGAGAGAGAGAGGCTGCCCCGACTCAAATTTTTCCAAAAAGCGCAGAAAAAGGAAGTCGGCGCTCTTCAGGGTTGCGACTCCAAAATTCTCAACCCAGACGCGGATCTCGGAAGTCGTCGAGGGGGAGAAAAGCTGCAAGTGTGCAAAGAGAGCGATGTAACATTTTGAGCTCAAAGCGTCGTGCATTCCACCCCTTGCACCGCCGCCCCCCTGACGCGATCAAGCCCGCCGGTGCCGCCTGCCTCCTTCCAACCATGCGCATGACTGACAGCTGACACCTCTGAGGCATGCACTGCTGCTTTGAATGGGTCCGTGATCAGCTCGTGCTGAACAGCCAGTCACAGCTGTGTTGCAAGCGTGACGCCAATGTGAGCCGGCTGGGCCGACTGCTGATGCAGACCGAGGCTTGGCTGCAGCTGCGTTTTGCCTTTTTGGTGAGAAAATACGACTCGCTGGCAAGAGCCTGATTTTTAGCTCTCTGCGAATCGCGCTCGGGGATGGCGCAGGCCCAGCGAAGAGGAGCTGCAGAGCTGCAGAGCTGCAGAGCTGCTGCACCTCTTGCAGCCGACCTGCCGAAGCGCAGCGTTGTGCAGAACTGCGCATCCGCTCGCTGTCAAAAATCGAAGCTCCGCCTTTCGACCCCCTCGGAGCAGCCATTGTCCGCTTTGGCTCCCCTTTGTTCGGGCTGAGGCCGACGCTGGGATCGCTCGGCTCGGCATGCATGAGCAGCTACAGTATTCGCCTGTCAATCTCAACGCACGCGAGAGAGAGCAACCGACCGCCGCGCTGGCTTTGTCTTTGCCCTCGAGCATATAGATATACACCTCCTCTTGGCCTCGTCTTTTCTCCTTCTGTCCACACCCCATCTTGCTCCTCCGTCCGCTCCCCTCCCTTCGGCTTGTCCTCCCCCTATCCCCCTACTACTCGATCCGGCAGCGTTGATCGCGCCGGCATTCGTTCTCTCCCCTCCTCTTTCCCCTCTCTTTTACGATCTTTCATTCCGCAATGATCTACGCCAGGACGCTTTTGCTCGCCTTTGTGGCGGTGTCGGTGATGACTGTGGTGCAGGCCACCCAGTCCATCAGCCACAACGCTGCGGTGCGTCGTCACGCTTCGATGGTTAGCCAACGCCCCGCGCGTCGCTCGGTCGACGTGAGCGCGGGCAGGATGGTGCAAAAGAGGCAGACGGCCGAACAGATCAAGCAGGCCGCCGACCTCAAGGCCTGGGACGACGATTTCCACGCTAAGAATGCAGAGTGGCAGCAGGCTGCCATGGCCGCGCTTGCCAGCGGTCAGACTCCGCCTTCCTACGACGAGTACTGGAGTGGCAAGTCCGGGTCATCCTCCTCGTCTTCGGCCGCCCCTGCCCAGCAGGAACAGCAGCAGCCGCAGCAACAGCAACAGCAACAGCAACAGCAACAGCAGCAACAACCCGCTGACAACACCAATGCCGACTCATCGAACGACACCTCGGACTCGACCGAGTGCGAAGAAGACTCGGCTGACACTTCGGATACCGCCAGCAGTGGCGCTGCTGCTGCCGCCGCTTCGGGCAGCAAGTCCAACGCTGCCAAGGGTAACGGTGGTGGCTCGTCTTCCTCTTCCTCCTCCTCTTCAAACTCGTCGTCATCGTCCTCCGACTCGGGCTCTTCATCTTCATCGTCCTCCTCCTCGGAGTCGACGTCGGGCTCGTTTGGCGGACAGGCAACCTACTATGCGCCCGGCCTTGGAGCGTGCGGATGGACCAACACCGAGTCGGACTACATTGTGGCCGTATCGCACTCGCTCTTTGACTCGTTTGGCACGGGCAACCCCAACAACAACCCCATCTGCGGCCACAAGATCAAGGCCACCTACCAGGGCAAGTCCATTACGGTCTCGGTCAGTGACCGCTGTACTGGGTGCGCCTGGGGAGATCTCGATTTCACTCCTTCCGGCTTCCAGCAGCTCGCACCGCTCTCGAAAGGACGTCTGGACGGTCTGACGTGGTCGTGGATCGGTGCGGCCCCCTAAACGACAGCCAAAAAGGTAGCTGGTTCTACCGAAATCACGATGGGAGCGTCTTTTGTTCGGCTGGATTCCGACAATGACCTCTGAATTGCGCCGCCAGTGCCCCCACGACCTTGATGGTTGGGGGACGCGCGCATCCATAACGGCTCCTGTATAACACTCTTTGCATGTATTCTGATCGCAATGGTTCCAAGCATTTTACGTGCAATTCAAGTGAAGTGAGCGCGTCCTGTCGATCGTGAATACGCGCGAATCGGGGTGGGAATTTTATTGGGCCCGATGGATTGCGCTGCCGGCACGACGCGGCACCGGCGGGACTAAGCGAGAGACACAAAGGCGCGATTCCCTCTTTTCTTCCCCGAGGAGGCTCAATGCGCTGGAAGAACAGGGTCATCCCCTCGAATCCACAGTCACACCTTTGAACTTCTTTCCCCCGGAATTTCTTGGCAAGAGCCTGCATTGACACTTCGGAAGCGAGCCGAGTGGGTGTAGATGAGTGGGATCGTGTGGATCGGGTGCGGATCGCAAGAGCAGAGACGAAGCGGACGATTGATTGATTAATTCGAATTGATTGCGCCCGTGCGAGGCGGTGCGATTTTGGCACCCAATTCTTGGCCGCTCAGATGCCGCCCACTTCTCCGCTTTTTTTTTCTTTCGTGCGATTTCATCAAAGCGCTGTGCTGCTGCCGTCGAAAGGCCGCCGAGCCGCACCGAAACGGCCATTATTGCGGACCGGCCTCTCTCTCTCTCTCTCTCTCTCTCTCTCTCTCTCTCTCTCTCTCTCTCTCCACATCTCATCCTCTCGACTCCACCATCTTGACCCACCCCCCATCGGCAGCCGCTTTTGCTTGCTCGTTTTCATTCACCAAATCGTTCGCACCTGGTTGTCTTGATTCACGCACGCACGCACGCACGCACGCACGCACGCACGCACGCACGCACGCACGCAAACCACGCGCGCATCGCCATGCTTCAACCTTAACCTTGGCTCAGCCTCTCCAACTTGCGTAACGCTTCTGCACCATGCAGCCCAATCAGCCGACGGGCGCACCTCCCCAATGGGCCCAGATCAGCTTCGACGACGGCTTCGACCTCAACCTCGACGCAACTTCCTCCTTGGCCGGTCCCGCTTCCACTGCACCATCAACCCAATCCCCGGTCATCACAGATGCAGCACCAAAGCGCTTCTCCGCAAGTCCGGCCTCGTCCAACAAGGCGCTCCCTCAACTGCCGCCCTTGGCCACAGCCACCGCCATGCCCGCTTCGGATAGCGTGGCAAGCACGGTACATGCGCGTTTGCCCTCGGCACAGTCCCAGGATGCAGCTACAACGCCAAAGCCTCCAGGCACCCCGCAGGCGCTCGTCCATCCTTCCCCCATCGTCACCGCTGCCACACCCGAGCAGCCCAACAATCGCAACTTTGACGCCATTCAACCCCCACCGCGTCCCGTCTCTTCCGCCGACGCCTACATGCATCCCATCGAGACGCTCCAGTCCGACACAAACAGCCGCCCCGGCACCGCAATGAGCAACCTCAGCTCCGCCAACGGCATCAACCAACCCCCCAACAACCGCAGCAGCTTCGGCACAACCACCTCCACCAACGGCCCCTTCAACCAGGCAAAACGCGCCTCCGTCCTCTCCTTCCAGACCGCAAACAGCGCAGGTTTCACAAGTGCGGACGAAGCAAAGAGCTCCGACCGCGAACACCTCGCAGACGAAACCTTGGTCGCGCCAGCCGCCACTGCAGCCTTGCCCATCGACGCCGCCCAACCCATCCGTCCATGGCTCGACCGCAACACCTCCGGCTACGGATCATCGCCAGACGAGCGCTCCTTCCCAGGCGGCCTCCCCGGATCCTTTTGGGACGAGCCAGTCCAAAAGCCCTTTCTCGCCGTCTGTCCCCCAGCGCCACCTAATCATAAGCCAGCCGGAGCTGTACTTGCCAACACCGACGATGCATCGAGTATACAAACAGGCCCAGCCGAAGCGACCCTCGCACCCATCAAGACGCACGGTCTGGCTCCATCCTCACCCAATGCTCCTCTGTCGTCGACCACCATCGCCGCACCATCCGACGAAACCACCCAGGCCGCACGCCAGTCTCCCGACGTCGTCAAGTCGTCCGTCAGAGAACTCGAGCCCATCTCCGATCTCGACGCGCCACCGCCGCCTGCCAAGGACGTCCGGGTCGACGACAACGCAAGCCCGGCGGTCCCTGCCGACAACGTCATCCCACCGCCCTTGCCTACCGACGCAGCAGCCAACGCTCAACCCGCCATCAACCCGCCCGCCCTCCAGCGACCCGTGTCCGACTATCGCAAAAAGCCTCTCGCACACATCTCGCCCGCCCAGAAAGCTGCCGGTCTCGCACACCTTCAGTCGCAGGCAAAGGCGCCCACCAAGCAGCCAATTCAAAACGTGCCCTTCAACGCACCACCCACCGCACCGCCTGCGGAAGCACCCCCCATCGTCATGATGGAGCGCGCACGTCGCAAGTCAACCGCCAGCCTCACCGCCAACGTCGCGCTCGCACAAGCCGCGGCCGGCGCGCCCAACCTCGCCCAGGATGGCCTGGCAGACACGCCCGACACGCCGAGTGCAGAGAGCGCGTCTGCAGAGTCCAGCGCGCCTCCCGACGGCGAGGTCGAGGCACGCGCAGAGTGGGAGCGGCGCAGGATCAAGCGCAAAAACGGCAACAAGAACAAAGACTCGCAGCCCCAAAACAAGGGCCGATCAGATACCTTCAAGAGCCAGCTGAGGCCGCTCCAGCTCGTGCCCGCCGACAACATGACCGCCTTCTCCGACCGCAACACCGCCACCGCCGATCGTCACAGCATCGCAGTCGCCAATCGCACCGTCAACGCCAACGCCATCGCTTCAGCCACATCCGATGCGTCCGCACCAGCTGCGGCGGCGGCGGCTCAGACCACCTACAGCACCCAGCAGCTCCAGAGGCTCCAGGCACGCGAACAGAGGAGGAGCGTCGGTGCCTTTAGCGCCGCCATGGCCGCTGCCAACGTCGTATCCAGCGGAAGCAATGGCCCTTACCCCGTCTTTGCATCGCCCAACTCGGGCCCACAGAAGGTCGGCGCGCGACAGTATCCCGGACTCATGGCACAGCGCAGCCTCGTGCCGCCGTTTGAACTGCAGCATCGTCCGGACGGCCTGCCCTCGGGCATGATCGGCCCGGACGGCGTGCGTAGGAGCATCAACGACCCCGAGGTGTGTCTCGAGTGCATGATGCGCGACGAAGACATGATTGACATTCGCGTCGTCGGCGACGGCGTGTGGGAACGCGAGAGCGACAAGGAGTTTCAGGATGCGCTCAGGCAGGAGGCCGAAGATGCTGCCAGCGGACAAACCTCGCACGGCATGAGTGGAAGCAGCGGACACGCAGACAGCCTCACCAGCCACCGCGACTCGCGCCAGTCGCGCAAGGCGCGCAAGAGGATCGGCAAGGGCGAGCCGCTCACCGTGGAGCGCCTCAAGCTTCACACCCAGATGAACCCGCCCGCGTCGTCGTTCCGCTGGCGTACGCTGCAGACCTTCCTGGCGGTGCAGGCAAAGTACATTGCCATGGAGCAGCAGAGGATGCGGCTCGAGGCGGATACAAAGGCGCGCTACAACAATGACAGCGTCAGCAGCCGCGGTAGCTTTGTCGCCGACTCGCCCGTGGCGGCGAACATGCTCTCTTCGCCGTTTGCGCCTGCGCGCGAGGCTTCGTCGTCTCAACGCCAGTCCATCCTCTCGACTTCGGTCGACGACAGCACGCTTACGCCGCTGCAGAAGCAGGAGAAGGAGCGCGACGTGGCGGCGGCGCAGGCGGCGCGCAAGAAGATGACCGTCGGCACCACGCCGCCTATGGCCTCGACGCCGCCGCTTGGCATGCCTGCGTACCCCGTGACGCCTCTGCAGACGCGCGCCGCTGCTCAGTCCATCCCTGCTCGTGTCGGCTCGGATCCGGACGGGCTGCTGGGCGGCGCTTCGCCGGTGGGCGGTGCGAGCATGACGCCCAGTAGCAGTCGTCGTGTGCCGTTTGGCTCGGCACCGACTGCGCGTGCCGCCAGCGCACAGGATCTTCGGTCCATGGCGGACGGGCAGCGATCGGCAGCGTATCCGGCGAGTCCGGACAGCTTGATGCCTCCGTCGAGGTCGGTCATGGGCACGTCGCCCACGGGCACGCCGTCGCGGCTGGCGGCGCGCTCGGGGGCGTCGCAGCTGTCGCTCATGCACAGCGGATCGATGATCGACATGCATGTGGCGCAGGAAGACCGGGCGGAGCATCGGATCAAGCAAAACGGGTTTTTGCCAGGTACACCGCTGGCGGTGGAATCGCCGGCGGCGATGAACCGCTCGTACTATGGCTTTCCCGGCGATGGCGATTCGTCGGTGCCGGATGCGGCGGCGTTTGAGCGGTCGCGCATGGTGTCGGGCGACGGATACGTCAATCCCATGGAGGCTGGACCGCGCGGATTGGATGCGGACGACGAGACGAGGCGCAAGAAGAAGGGGCTGCGGGGATTGTTCTCCAAGCTGACGGGTAGTGGTGCGGGGAGGGAGAATTCGGCGGGTACGGGCGATGGGAGTGTGAACGGTAGTATTGCGAGTCGCAATGCGAGTCGACGCTCGCAGGCGTCGGACAGCTCCAAGCCGCGCAAGTTTTCGTTTAGCGCCGAGCGGTCGCTCGATGCATCGGGCGGCATGGCTGCGGCTCCAAACGGTATGCTCAGCCGAGCACGGAGGTCCACCTCGACTTTCTTCCGCAACGGCGCCGAGGCGGATATGGAGCCGAGCAAGGCGCGGCAGCCGAGCGCGGGGAATGCGAATACGCCCTTCCAGAATCCACCGGGCATGACGAGCCAGGGCAGTCTGGACCTTGGACCGTTCCAGCCGGCTTCGCCGCAGGCGAATGCGTTTGGTGCGGCCAATGGCAGTGCGGGCAGGATGCGCAAGGCGTCGAACCCGCTCATGCAAAAGTACCTCAGCTCGCCCTCGCCCCAGACGCAGGCGCCGTCGATGCAGAGCTCGGTGCCGACGTCGCCCGTGGAGAGGGTTCCGGTGCATCCAAGCCAACGCGATGCGAGGGTGTCGGGTCTGCAGCCCATTCTGGACGGCGAGCAGGATGAGTCCGATGCGCGACAGTCGATGCGCGAGAGTGGCAGCGCGGGTGGACGCATGCTGCCTGCCACGCCGACGGGCCGACCGAGCATGGACAGTGCTGGGCCGCAGAGGCCCCCACGCAATCCGCGCCGGCCCGAAGGTGCGCTCAACTCGCCGAGCATCGTGGATCTCACTGCCAACAATGTAGGAAAGGGTGGGCGCGAGTTTCCGCCGGCGGGGCGGTACGAGTCTGGGTCGTATGCGAGCGTTGCATCGCGCGAGAGCGAGAAACGATCGCGCTTCCGACTGCCGTTTATCCGCAAGAAGCGCGAGTCCACACTGGACGCCAACCCGTCCATCGTGATTGGCGGCGAGGATGCAGTGGGACGGCCAAGTGGGTTGTTCCCCGCGCTGCGCACACGCAAGAGCTACGGCGGCCTGGGCGTTCCCAAAGCGAGCTTTTCGGCAGAGCGACAACGGGTCCTGTCCTCGCCCTCGCACGATGTGGGTGGCTTGCCACCGCGAAGTCAGAGTGCATTTGGAATGGCGCCGACACAGCGGTTCATGTCGATGGACATTCCGCGACGCTCGATGAACGTCGCGCGCGACCATCGACTCAGCACCGTCGGGTATGGGGACGAGGAGGAGGAGGATGACGAGATGGAGCGCGAGCCGGGGTACGAGGCCGAATTCAACCGGTATGCGCAGGAGGCGGCCGAGGAGAGGTATGCCAAGCCGAGGGAGGCTAGTGCGGGCGCGCAGAGCTTTGGCCGCAAGAGCCTGAATCTGCTGCGTGACTTGCGTATGCCGCTCGGCAAGACTAGGTAATCCTGCCCCCGCCGCACCTTCTCATGCTCCCAATCGACATGAAGCACAAGCCCGGTTTTATTGTCCTGCGGAAGTAGGTCTGTGGTCTTTGCGAGCATAACTTGGAGAGAGAAAGGTTCTGAGCGGGCATGGTAGGGTGGGTCACGTGATGCCAAACGCGTCGTTTTTGCGCAGTGGAGGCGTTGGATTTTCTTGGGTGCGGGGGGGAAGAGAAGCCAAGTCGCGTTTGTGGATTTCGGGTGTGTTGACTTGTCTGGTTGTGCACGGATGGTGCGCTCGGGGTTGGCGGTGTACCACCTGCATCCTTTTCGCATCATTGCACGAGCTTTTGCAGTGGAGCGGGGAGAGTCGAACGAAGCAAACGACCAACTTTGGGCTTCGATTTGCAGTGCAGGAATACGCTTGGGTTTGTACGTCGTTGGTTCCACCATCTGCACATGCTAGTGCGCGATACGGCTCGGCGATCGGAAGTTCTCAACCACACGGCTTTGGCTCGCGCTACTAGGCGGAATAGACAAACACACCCGGCGGGCGAGCTACACCAGCGGCACACGTCCAGTCTTGGTACGATCGGCTCACCACAGCCCCCCAAACATCGAAGCGTTTCGGAGGATCGAACGTTTAATCGCTGGGACGACGGGGAACACTTGGCCACCAACTGCGCTCGGTAAAAGGGTGCGCAAGAGATAGCATCCGGTTGTCTCGGTGCTTCATCGCAGCGATAGCGGGCTTGACTTTGCCCAGCCAAGTCTCTCCAACAAGCGCACTCGACATCGGCTTCACTGCACCACAGATACTTCCAACATCACCTCGTTCGGGTCAGCATCAGCCAACAACCACTCGACACCCTCCCGTCGGCACAAAGGTCGAGCGGTAAATACTCTCGCCATCCACGCACAGTTACTTGCCTCGAGAGCTGGCATCCGCTCACAGCAGCACGGTTGCGCTCAGGCCCATTCCCCCTTCGATCGGGCAGCAAAGCCAACAGTACTGTCTTTGGCGGTACGAAGCTCACGACAACGGACGACTTGCACGCCAGTAGCGGCTCGTACAGCACCAGCTAGAATCATACGACCAGCGCTCGCCCCCGCTTAGATTTACGCCTGCTCCACCAACCAAGACAGCCGCCAATTGCACCGCGACATGGCGCGCAAGGCGCTGGCGAGCGATGCCAAGATCGTTGTGGCGTCGGCTTGCGAACTCGAAGCGCACTTTGCTGAGCTGCAGGCGGATCTGCACCTGGCCGAGACGGAGCATACGTGGTACAAGATCGAGCAGTCGTTGCTGTACATCCAAGCCATCACGCGCGGTGGCGCCACCAAGTTGGCCGACTTTGTCGCGCTGATCAAAGAAGCGGCGGGACCGATCAACGGCGCCTTGCTGAGCGAGCGCACCAAGCTCTCCGGTACAGCAGCGGATCTGCTCAACTCGATTGCACCTCGACTTGGCGAGCGATTCGAACCGCTAGTAGGCGTGTTTGTACCGACGCTGCTGCAGATCTGCGCGCGCACGAACAAGGTGGCGGTCAAGAGGGCGGAAAAGTCGCTGCATTTCATCGTCAAGCACTGCAGACCCGTCGGCGTAGTGCCGCTGCTGCGAGAGGCGGTGAGGGATAAAGGCCAAGGACTGCGTGCGGTCGCAGCAGGCACGTTGGTGGCGGTGCTCGAGTGCACAGACAGGGATAGGTTGGCGAGGAGGGTGGCGGATGTAGAGGCGGCGATAAGAAGCGGTGCGACCGATTCGAATGCAGAGGTGAGGCAGATCAGCAAGAGGCTCTTCGAGCAGTATGTCGCCGTGTGGCCGGAAAGGGTCGAGGCGTTTACGAAGCCAATGACCCCGACCATTCGCAGGTACCTTGCGTTGCCAAAGACCGGTGCACTGGTCGTAGACGTCCCCACACCACAATCCAAGGTGCAACAAGCCGTTAGGGAGACACAACCAGCGCCGACGACGACGACGGCGACGACGACGACGCAGCCAACACCGCAGTACAGCTTTTTCCCGGACCTCCATCGTGCTCCTGCCGCCTCGACATCGCGAGGCTTTGGTGTCAACGATGCGACGTATGCAAAACGCGGGCTGTTTGCGGATCAGATTGCGGCGGCACGTAATGCGCGATTGGCCCGCATGCCCTCGTTCAACTTTGACGACAAGCCGGTCGAGACCGCGGCGACGACGGCGATCAAGCGGCAGCCGAGCTTTGAGCAGCGGCGCGGCGACATCAACTCGCACACGCCTGGATTTGCAACGGGCGGACATGGCAAGAGTGTGCTGCTCGCAGCGTACAAGCAGGCGTTTGTCGACCAGCACTCTGCTCCCTCCCGCGAAAAGTCGCGCGATAAGGAGCAGCGCAAGCACGTCGAGCGGAAGCGCGACAAGACAGCCGTGCGGTTCGAGCGCGAGACGCTCGATGCCCCCCGCGCCGCAGAGGAGGAGATGCGCAGGTCCAAGTCCGCGCCGCTTATCCCCGCCACCGAGGCGGAGCTGGGTGATGAGCCGTCGACGCCCACGGAGAGTGGAGAGGATCGGCCGAGTACGCCGCCGCAGCGGGTGGTGCAGACCCCACGCACGGCGGTCAAGGCGAGCAGGGTGCCTGCGCAGCGCGTCGTCGCCTCGGCGGTCAAAGTGTCCGCAGCGAGGGTGGTGGTCCCCACGCCGTCGGCCAAGGTCGCAGCCACCAGGGTGGTCGAGTCGGCATCGGTCGAGGCGAGCCCTGTGCCCAAGCCGAGGCAGGCAAAGACGCCAGAGCAAGCCATCCAGCCCGCTGCAGCCATGCCCAGCAAGGACAGCCACCCCAAGGCACCGGTCAAGAAGGCCGTTTCGGTGCCAAGCACGGATCCTCGCGAGGCGGTCAAAGCGGCAAAGTCGACCGAGGTGGGCAAAGTCGCCTCCAAAGTGGTCGCTCGTCCAGCAGTGAAAAAGGCGGTACCAACCAAGCCGGCTGCACCAGCCAAGCCCGCCATCACCACTGCAACTGCACCAGCCAAACCCACCACCACCATTGCACCCGCAAAGACCGTCCGACCGGCTGCGGTCAAGCCTCCAGCCGCCGCCCCAAACAGTGCTACGATGGCACGCGCCAAGCTTGCTGCCACCAACCGGCTCGCCTCCGCCACCACCGCGTCGAAAAAGCCCGAGGGTGGTGGGGTTCGGGTATCGACAGCAACAGCATCGACCGCCTCGACGCGCAACAAGATCGTCCCCTCTGCGGCGGTGAAGAAGTTCACGCCCAAGGCCACTCCCACGGTGGGAGGGGCGGGGATGAGACGTGCAAAGAGCTCGATTGCCGAATCGATCGCGGCCAAGAGCAAGATCGTGGGTGCACAGCAAAAGGCGAGCGACAAGGCGGTGGCGGTGCGAAAGGCGAGGGTGAGTGCAGCGCTCAAGATGCAGAGAAGAGCGTCCGCGGTTGCAGCCACCAAGGTCTCCACCGCTGCACCCACCCCAGTTCCGAAGGAGGAGAAGGCGGTGGTGGGTACACCGGTGCAGTCGCCCAGCAAGACGGCTGCACCGGGTGGCGGCATGCGCACTCCACTCGGCGCCAAAGATCCCAACGTCCCCTCGACTCGTTCCTCGCCGCTCAAGTCGCCGCTGCGACCGACTCCACGCTCCACCACCGCCCCTCGTGTGCTCGACGTCAACGTTCTCGACAGTCAAAGCGAGCGACCAACACCGCTCAAGCCCGCGCCTCGTGTGCTCGACGTCGACATCTCCAACGGCGAAAGCGAAAGCGAAAGCGACAGCGAGAGTGATGGGGAGGAGGTGGTGCAGCTCACGTTGGGCTCGAAACAGCTCGTGCTAGGTCCGGGCTCGGCGAGCAGCGACGCCTCGTTCGGCGCAAGCCCAGACGACGAGACTGTAGTGCTCGAGGCGGTACCCGCTTTGTGATGTATACCCGCGATTGCAATCGATACCGACTGCGACTTGATCTGAGGTCTGTCTGACTTTCTCCTGCATCCACAGGCCAGGATTGACAGCCAAGTAGCGCCGAGTGAGCTCGTCATCAGCGTTTGGGGGGTACGGGGGGCTTGCCCCCCGGCTCATAGAAAAAGAAGTTGGGGTGAGGCCTGTCCAAGACGGCGGATTGGGATGATCGGGGAGGAGGATGGCCCCGATTGAGCGATCTGGCGATCTGGGAAGAACGCGCGGTGCTCCACTTTTCCGGGCGCATCGCGACGAGAAAAAGCTTAGCTGAAAGGGCGGAGGTGGTAGCGTCTGGACCACCATCTGCTCTCCAACGACACACCCATGCAGCGCGGCTGAAGCATCGCATCTCCCCTTCACACCGCCGCCCAAGAATGTGGTCTTCGCCCGCTGCGGCGCTAGGCATCCGCGCATGCTCGGGCACTTGCGGCTTGCGTACCGCCATGGCAGGCACACGGTCAATAGCATCAAGGCCACTGCTGTCGGCGTGTCCACCGGTGCTCGTAGCTGCCAGGCCGGCAACACTGTCCCTACTTGCTGGCAAGCGATCGGCGCCGTCGTATTTGCTGGTTCGCCACTTTTCCGTCTCCTTGGCAAGGCAGGACGACAAGCCGCAACCCCCCAAAACTGCCACAGCGCAGCCAGAACAGTCCTCGAACGACGACAAACCTCCAGCTACATCTGAAAATACCGCGACAGGATCACTCGCAGCAAGGCTCTCGGCACGCATCAGGACGCTGCTGCACGCGCAGCTCGCCAAGTCGGCGCCAAAGTCCACCGACGGCGCCTCGCCCGCACCCACGCAATTCCCAGACCTCAGGCGGCTCTTTTCGCTCGCCATGCCGCAAAAGCGCAACATCCTCATCGCGCTCGGCCTGCTGCTCATCTCGTCGTCCATCACGCTCACCGTGCCCTTTGCCATCGGCCGCCTCATCGACTTTTTCACCTCGGGCCAGAACGCGCTGTTCGGCCTTGGCTTCGGAACGGTGGCAGCGCTCATGCTGCTCATCTTTGCCGTCGGCGCCGGAGCCAAGGCGGGCAGCAACATCCTGCTCGAGCTGTCGGGCGTGCGCGTGGTGCAGGGCATCCGCAACCAGGCGTACCGCTCCGCTCTGCGCCAGGACGTCGAGCTTGCAGACAAGGGCAGCGGCGACGTGGTGAGTCGGCTGAGTGTCGATACCAACATCGTGGGCGAGTCGCTCACCTCGGATATTGGAGATGGACTGCGCGCGGGCGCGACGGTGCTGTTTGCAGGAACCGCCATGTTTATGATCTCGTCCAAGCTTACGTTGCTCATGATGGCCGTGGTGCCGCCCGCGGCGATCGGCGCCGTGTTCTACGGAAGGTATCTGCGCGATCTTACGCACAAGACGCAGGACGCTGTGGGAAATATGACGCGGCTGGCCGAGGAGCGGCTGTCGCCCCCGGCATTCCGCACTCTCACCGCGTTCAATACGCAGCGTCAGGAGCTGAGGCGTTTTGATGAACGCATCGGCGCGATCGTCGAGCTGCAGACCAAAGAGGCGTATGCGTCCGGCCTCTTCTATGCCGGTACCGGTTTCGTGGGCAACTGCGCCATCCTCACGCTGCTCACCTACGGCGGGCACCTGGTGAGCCGCGGCGAGATCTCGGTGGGCGACCTCACCTCGCTGCTCATGTACACGGCGTATCTGGGCGGCGGCATGGTGAGCCTCACCTCGTTCTTTGCCTCGCTCATGAAGGGTCTCGGTGCAGGCGCGAGGGTGTTTGAACTCATCGATCGGCCTGCCACGGTAGAGCTCGGCAAGGGAGAGACGCTGCAGCTCGATACGGCGGTGAGGGGGAAAGTGCGATTTGAGGATGTGCACTTTACCTATCCGTCGCGACCGCAGCAGCCGATCCTGCGCGGCGTCACGCTCGATATTGAGCCGGGCCAGTCGTATGCCTTGGTCGGAGGCTCGGGTGCGGGCAAGTCGTCGGTGCACTCGCTGCTGCTGCGCTTCTACGACCCGACGCAGGGTCGCATCTTGCTGGCGGGTAAGGATCTGGCGTCGTATCGACCCGAGAGCGTACGCAAGCATCTGGCGTTTGTACCGCAAGAACCGATCCTGTTCGACGGGACACTGGAAGACAACATCAAGTATGGTACGGATTCGGCGACGCGCGAAGAGGTGGCCGAGGCAGCGCGTCTGGCTGGATGCGAGGCGTTTATCGCCGACATGCCGCGCGGGCTCGACACGGTGATCGGTGCACGTCAGCTGTCGGGTGGACAGCGTCAGCGCATCGCCATTGCGCGAGCGCTGGTGCGCAAGCCGGCGATCCTGCTGCTGGACGAAGCGACGAGCGCGTTGGACTCGGCGTCGGAGCTGATGGTCAACCGTGCCATCGAGAGGATCATTGCCGAGGGCAAGATCACCGTGTGGATCGTCGCGCATCGGCTGTCGACCATCCGCAGCGCCAACAACATCCAGGTGCTCGAAAACGGCCGTATCGTCGAACAGGGCACCTTCCAACAGCTCGACTCGCCCGGATCCAGGTTTAGAAAGCTCATGGCCGCTCAGCTCGATGCCACCGATCACTCGGAGCACAGTGCACCGGTGAGTTCCGAGTAATGACATGAAAGTTTGGAATCGGAAGAACTGAAGGTTTGCCTTTGTTTAGAGTGCTGCGGTGGCGGGAGTGGGACAGAGGAGGGGATTGCATACGAGTGCTAGGCGCGGAGACGTGGTTCCGGACAGGGGAACATGGAGCTTGTTATCGGCGGTGCAGGGTGTGGTGGAAATTAGCGATGCGCAGTTGGATAAGCTGCATCGACTCGCGGCGCTCATCCCTCCCACAGAGCCTGCGGAGCGTGCGGCGCTAAAGCGGGATTTGGCGGGCATCGTGCACCTGGTGGAAACGATCCACCGGACTCCCGGCAAGGCTGTGGATGCGAGACCGTTGGTGGCGCACGATGCCAAGTGGAACACTTCCCTCTCCACCAACGAGGAGAAGGCGGAGGAGGCGGAGGGGACACAGACGTTGGAGAGGGACCAGCTGCTAAAGCGAGCGGGAGACAGGCAGTACGCTGGCTACTTTGTAGTGGATCGCACCTAGACGCAACAACCAATCACCACTCGGCATGACAATCCAAAAACGGCGTGCGGTCGACAATGTGAGAGGCGCGAGAGAAGTACAGCGACCGGTGGTGCGGCGACAGCACCACGGCTTGGCGTGGTCACGCGTTGGCGATCGGCGATTCAGAGGCGAACGACGCGCGACGAGGCAGCGGGCAATGCGAAGATCCCACGCCAGCTTCGGCCGCCGCCGACACCGCCTCAGAGCTCGCAGGTCCGAGCGCATCGGCCGAACACTTGATAGCATCTTCATCTTTTGCCAATACCCGGTCGGACTGCTGTGCGCACAGCCGGCGATCCATCGATTGATTGGTGGATGATGGCATGGTTGGACGCTGATTGCAGGATGAAAATTCAGTGTGCGATTGTATGAAGGAGGAGGAAGACTGGATGATGCGCGCGCCGTGTCCATCTTAGAGCGGCGTGGAGGAGATCATGCCAAGGTCCAATCATGCTCAAGCCATCTCAGAGCTCACGTCACGCTCCATTCGACAGCCTGGAAGCATAACCTGATTACATCGATAAAAACATGTGACGGTATCACAATGGCGAGTGTGCAAAACTGCGCTAGGCGGTGCCACACTCGGCCCCCTTGCAGCCCGTCCTTGTTGACATACCCGGATCTTGGCTCTTGCGGTCATCTTGAATGAAATGAAGCTGATTCAAGAGACAAAAGGGGCAAAAACTGCAGCACCTAGGATTCCCGCGTGGTCCCCCACCGCAGTACTGACTAGGCGATACCCTGCTTAACTTCGCAGATCGGACGGGATGCGGTGCTTTCAAGGTTCTATGGCCGCAGATGTCTAGCGTTACTGGGGGCAGTTTCATATGTGCTTCCAAGGGGCAGTTGATGACGAACTATGGCAGAATAACACCGTACAGCCGCGCGCACAAGAACACGCACAGAGCCGCCGAGAGAAAGAGCGAGAGTGGGTAGCTTCCAGCGCCTGCTTTTGGTTGAATTGGCAGCCACGTCTAGAGACGACATACGAAAATATACTGGCGGTCTGGCAGTTGCACTCGAGTGTCGCGGTATCAAGCTGCCTATCGTCCGAGCTGAAAGGGCGACACGCCGACGACAGTGACTACATCACGTCCTTCATGATAGCCCTTCGAATTCCCTTGGACACGACCATTGCGTAGATACAGAGGCCGTGAATTGCCAAAGGGCCTATCGATGGCGATAGGATGGCGGGTAAAAAGTGATGCGACAGAAGACGTTTTCGACACCAGCAACAACCATGCAGCATCTCCCAAAACAAAGTATCCCCTGCCGCTCTACGGCCTCGTTGATTCGGCTCGTCGAAGGCAAGAGCACGATAGCTGGCGCAGCCTGCCAACACAGAGTCGTCACGAGTCTCCGACCTCGGCTCGATCTCCGGGTTCGTAGATCGGGGCGCGTCGGCCACGGAGGCAATGCTCGCGCGCAGGCGACAGGTTCGGACGCACTGCGCGTGGAATTGATTGTCCAGCCTCACACACCGAACGACAGCGAGACAGAAAGCGTATTCAGCGTGTTGGACAAGTCTCGATGCTGTGGCAGCGGCGATGATTGTCCAGCGCCGCACGCAAATCCACGCCCAGAGCAGCAGAGAGACCGCAGATTCCACACATGCTCACATCCTTCAAGAGAATCACCGCACGCACAGTGCACAGCGCTTGAGCGCATCTCGCGTGGTATACACATCACAAACCAGTGGCAGCGGCTTCGGCAACAATCCAGCATGGGTGAGGGTGAATCCTCGTCGTGGTGAACACGAGAATGTACGACGAGAGACCGAAGAGGCACAGAGGGAGCCGCAAAGAGAAACAAGTGTCTCTCATAAGGACAACCACGAAGCGCATCTTGCGTGGTCTAGATGCAACACTGCGGCAGCGGCTCCACCTGATTATTGTCGAGGGTCAAGGCTCGTCGTGGTGCTCACAAGAACGTACACAGAGCGATTGAGAGAGAAAGAGAGAAAGACAGAGACTGTCTCACACACGGGCACAGCAATCAAGCGAATTTGGTCTTGAACACACTACGAGACAGTGGCAGCGGCTTGGGCGACAATTGCGTATCGTCAAGGGCAAAAGCAACGGACAACACACCTGCACCCCGTCATGGTGCATGCAGGAACCCACACAGCGCGGCAGAGAGAAAAGAGCGTGTCGTCACGCACAGTTGCCTAGTTCGAAAGCGCACAGAGAGGGCCATAACAAATGAGCAGATACTATGACAGCGGCTACCTTTGACGAACATTGCGCACAAGAACGCACGCAGAACGGCAGACAGAAAGAGGCAGCTTCGACACATGCTCACTTGCTTCTGAAAAAAACAACCATACGCACAGGCAGAGAGGAGCGCATTTGGCGTGGTGTAGTTTGAGCATTGTGGAAGCGGCTCGGGTACAAGCGGGACTGTCGAGGGCAAAAGCAACGGACCGCGCAACGTTTGTAGAATCGCCGCACAGAACGGCAGAAAGGAAGAGGACCTATACTCCAACAGTCGCGCACAAACAAAAACCATGCGCACAGGCACAGAGATTGACAAAGATCAAGCGCATTTGGCGTGGTATACAATCAACGACTGTGGCAACCGCTAACAATCGGGTATGGTCGAGGGCAAAAGCAACGCACAGCACGACACTTGTAAGCTCGTCAAGCTCGCCGTGGTGCACGCGAGACTACACACAGAGCTGCAGAGAGAAAACGAGTGAGCGAGAGAAAGAGAGTGTGCTTGTCACGCCCAGGCACACACAGAACGAGCGCATTGAGCGTGATATGATGACTCGCTCGATACCGTGGCAGAGGTGCTGTGGCAGCGGCTGTCGTTTTCCAGCCTCGCACACAGGAGCATCCACAGAGCAACAGAGAGAGACAGCGCACACAGAGCGGCAAAGAGAAGGAACACGCACAGGGCAGCAGAGAAAGCAACAATCATACGCACAGGCACAGAGATTGCCAGAGATGGAGCGCATTTTGCGTGGTAGAACAAATGACAGCAGCTACAAGCGGGTATCGTCGAGTGCAATTGCTGCGGACAGCACGACATTTGTCCAAGCCATCGTGGTGCACACAAAAACACGTACAGAGCGGCACAGAGAAAGAGTCGGTGCGTGCCGCGTACAGACACAAGCAGATCGAGCGCATCTCCCGTGGCACACTTACAACACTGTGGCAGCGGCATGGACTACATTCGGGTATCGAGGGCGAACGCAACCACTAGAATGACGCTTGTAAACTCGTCGTCTTGCACACAAGAACACATCCAGAGCCGCATAGAGAAAGAGTGACATGCACAGTCACACAGAGGTGGAGCGCCGTTGGCGTGGTATACAATTCACAACACAAGCATCGGCTTACAAGCGGGTATTGTTAAGGGCAAAAGCAACGCATAGCACCACATTCGTAGACTCGTCGCGGTGCTCACGACAACATGCACACGCAGCGGTTGAGAGAGAAAGAGAGAGGCAGCAAGATGGTATACAGATTACAACAACCATGGCAGCGGCTTGGGGCTACAATCGGGTATCGTCGAGGGCGAAAGGCAACGCTCAGCACGACAATGGTGGACTCGTTGTGGCGCGCACACAGAGCGGCAGAGGGAAAGAAGACAGACAAAATGGCAGAGAGAAAGAAGGTGCAGCGCTGCACGAGCAGCAGCTACACGCACCGGCACAGAGGTGTTGCGCAGGGAGCGTGGTATAACAGATGCATTCATGTCTGCGGCAGAGGCTTGCGAGTGGGTTTCCTCGAGGGTGAATGCTCTTTGTGGTGCCTGCAAGAACCCACGCCAAGGAGCAGAGAGAAAGAGAGTTCCCAGCCCAACTCAAGCACAAAGCACACTTTCGGGGCAGAGAACGAGGGCATTACGCGTGGTATACATTCAACACAGTGACAGCGGCAGCAGCTTTACAAGCGGGTATCGAGGGCAAAAGCAACGCACACGAGCACATACGGAGAGCGGTAGAGAAAGCAACAACCACACGCACAGAGATGGAGCGCATTGAGCGTGGCAGTCATTGTCCAACGCCAAACCCAAGTCCACACCCAGAGCAAGAGAGTGACACAACACACGTCGAGCGGCCGAGAGAAAGAGAGTGTACATCCCTGCACAGACAACAAACACACGCACGCGCACAGCGATCAAGCGCAATAGCCATGGCACTACGAAAGACAGCGGCTTTACAATTGGCCACTATCGAGGGTAAAAGCACCGGACAGCACAGATTTGTAGAATTGCCTCACACACGCAGTGCGGCAGAGAGAAAGAGAGCTCTGCACGGACAACAACCACACACAGGGGCAGCCATATGGAGCGCGTTATGGCGTGGTATACAAATTCCAGTACTGCTGGCCTACACGGGTATCGTCGAGGGCGAATGCACAACGTTTGTAAACCCGCCAAGCTTGTCGTGGTGCATACAAGAAACCCAGAGCGGCAGAGCGGCAGAGAAAGCAACGGCCATACACACAGACACAGAGATGGAGCGCATTATGGCGTGGTATACAAATTTGAGTACTGCTGGCCTACAATCGGGTATCGTCGAGGGCAAAGGCAACGCTGAGCACGACATTGGTAAACTCGTCGTGGTGGTCGAACAAGGTGCAGGCCCAGGGGAGGTCGCGCAGCTCGTCCTTGACACTATCGCTTCCCGCCTCTGGCGCAGCGGCGACGGCCTCGTTTCGGAGCTGGACGAGCTGTCTCAGCGTGGGCCTGGCAAAGGGAGCGCCTGCTTCGGAGAGGGCGTTTTGGTGGGCGGTGTGTGCCTGCATCCAGTCGGCTTCCTTGTCGGCCTCGAACTCGCCCGCAGCCGCGGGCAGTGGCAGATCCAAGATGAGAGAGCAGCCTGCCAGACGCTCGCGTGCATTGCCCGCGTTCTCGCGGAAGCGTTGGAGCACCAGCAGCGAATACGACGCAAACAGCGTACGCACCATGGTCTCGATCCAACCAAATGTGGCGAGGCTCGGCGTGGACTGCTGGCTCGCCGCCTCGCATGCGCGGACCGCGTGCGCCAGCAGCGCCTGCGAAACATCAGAAAGCACAAGCAAGGCCTCGTCAAGCAGCTCGGCGCTGACGTGATCCGTGATGGCGGGCTCGTCGGTAAAGACGATGAGCACGAGATACATCCAGAGCGCTGCGACGGCGCCAAACACGGGCACCGAATCGGCGTTGGCGGCGGTGAGCCGAGGCTTGTCGGCCACGATGAGGCGGATCTGTTCGGAGATCAACCTCCAGATGAGCGACTGGCTTGCGGGCAGCCTGACGTAGTAGCCTGCGAGGATGGAGCGTGCGTTTGCGAGCGACTCGGGCACACTGGCGCGATTCTCCTGGAGCCACTTGCGGTGGATAAAGGGCGGGATGGGGGCGGTGGGGTCGGTGAGCACGATGAGCGCCGGATACGAGACAAAGTGGGCGGCGCTGGCCTGTGCGATGGAAGCGGCCACCTCGCCGCTCTGGTCTGGCTGGATCCACCACTGCTTTGCGCTGGGGAGCTGGGGTGCTGGCAGCACGAGCTGACCATCGCAGTCGTAGCGCGATTGAGGCGGCGTGTTGGAGTCCGAGAGGGAGCGACTGAGCGGATGGCTGTTGTTGGCGCCGGCGGCGGCCGTGGCTGCGGCTGCTGCAGCTGTTGCGGTGGCGGGAGGCGCGGCGTTGGGATCCTGAAACATTGGCAAAAAGCCCGGGTTGGTGGAGAGGCCCATTTGGTGTGCGAGGGAAGCGGCGAATTTGGCCGAGATGGGCGTGTCGACGACGGGCGAGTGGGAGATGGCGGCAAAGTTTCCGCTGATGGCCGAGTGGAGGCTGGGACCCATGCGGTAGAGGGGCGAGGGGACGACGGGCTCTGCGAGCCAACCGGAGAGGTCGATGCCGTGCTGGAAGACGGCGGATCGGATGGGGGAAGGGTTGGGCCACGCGGAGCGATTGTTGAGATTCGAGGTGATGAGGGTGGGTGGCCTGGGCGGGGGCATCATGGCGTTGTGTTGCGAGGCAGGGTGTGGATGCTGGCGCGACGAGGCTGTGGCGTTGAAAGCTTGTTGGGGCGCATTGGAGCGCTGGTGCCAGGGCTCGTGCATGTTTTCCTCGACGGCTTCGGGCATGCTGGTGGTCCTGTGACGCGAGTGAGGAGCTGCGAGGAAGTGGTTGTTGTTGACGTTTGTGTGCAACTTGGAAGCGTCGGTGGCGAGGTGGTTGTTGAGGCGGACGATGGGCGTCTCCTCGCCGTCGTCGTTTGCAAAGGCGACGTTTGCGCGGTCGATGTTGGTGACGATGGGGCCGGTGTTGGTGCGTGAGAATCCGCTCGACTTTCGTGCGGGCATTCTGGGGGGCGCTGGAGCGGCGTCCGAGTCGAGGTTGAGGTCGTGGAAGGAGTGCGGGGAATCGGTGCGGATAGGGGGTGCGATGTTGGCGTAGGAGGCGGCGGCGGTTGCGGCGGCGGCGGCGGCGGCAGGGGTTGCCGAGATGCTAAAGTTGGCGAGGTTGGGCGGTGCCGAGTCTGGCTGGGATGCGATGCTGTGTTGGGAGCGTGGGGAGCCGAGGGCGGAACCGGAAGCGGAGGAGGCGGGGTCGTGCCAGGAGTGATGCTCGCTCTCGCTCTGGCTGTCGTAGTCGACTTCTGCGTCGCGATTGGCGTAGTTTGGATTGGGCGTCATGAATGCTGCGGATGCCATGTTGAAGTCGGGCGTCTGCATAGGCCAGGTTGCGTTGTGCATGGGGTGCGGCGGCATGGCAGGAGGCACGGCGGGATGCATTTGCGGGGTCATGGCGTGTACGTTTGGGTCTAGGCTGCTGTTGTGTTGGATGACGCCGACGTTGCGAGCCTTTCTGACGTTGGGGTTGCCGGAGCGCGGAGCGTACTGGCACTGCTTGCCGCGAGCGCGACATCTGCCGCAGGTGGGTACTTCGAGGTCGCAGCGAGCCTTTGATCTTGCGCATTCGTAGCAGCTCTTTTGACGATCGAAGGAGGGCTGAGCGAGGGCCCTTGCCTCTCTTGCGAGGTGGCGACGGAGGAGGTCGTCGCGAGCGAAAGCCTTGCCGCAGTTTGGGCAGGGGAAACCCTGGGAGGAGGAGGAGGGGCCTGGACCGGATCGGGTGGAGGAGGAGGGTGCGCCGAAGCTGCCGTCTGCGTGCGGTTCGAACGAGTTGGAGTAGGAGGATTCGTGATCGCTGAGCTGGTCGACGAGCGAGGAGGAGGATGCGGAAGCGTGCGAAGAGGCGTAAAAGCTGTTGGACTGTTGGTGGTGGTGCATCTGTGGGAAGGTGGAAGCGGGGTGGTGGTGGTGGTGGTGGTGCATGGCGACGTTGGACATGGAGTCGAAGGCGTCTTGTTGTTGTTGGTGCTGTTGTTGTTGGGCGGCAAAGCCAGGGTTGGCTGCGGTCATTGTGGTTAGGGTGTGTGTGGTGCTGGCATGCGAGGGTTGCGTTGCCTCGCAGGCGTGACGAAGTGGGAAGATCGTGGTGGTGCTGAGCAGCGGTGCGTACGAGGAATATCGCCAGGCGAACCGGCCCCAAAAAAAAAAGGGAAAGCCAAAGGAACAGGTTCCGACTAAGCGCGGCGGTCTGCGTTGGAGCGGCGTTGGAGCAGCAGAGCAGCAGAGCAGCGCGGAATTGGGCGCTGGAATGTGATGAAAAGGCGTGCAATTCGTGATTCCCAGCCGGAGCGTTTTTGGGCTTTTTGGAATGCAATTTTAGCCAAAGCCGCCGAAGATGGAGCCGAAGGAAAAGGTGGGGGGGTTAGGGTCGGAGGAGGGCGGAAGAGAAAGCGGAGAGGGGGCGCGTGTCGTACACGCCGCGAGCGGGCTGGCAGGGGGTCGTACTTTATGCGTTTGCTCTGAGGCATCGCATCATGGACCAAGATTCGAAGAGGGCCAAGGATGCGGCGGCGGATTGGGATGATCGGCATCGGCATTCTCGACGCCGGGCCCTCCATTGTTGCGCGAAGAATGGTGACGAGAGAGCGCTGGAAAGGGAGATTCGGTCGAGCAACCGCCAGTGCCGCCCTCGTGCCGCCCTCGTGTGGGCCATATTGGCAGCTTGGCGCTGTGCCTTGCTGCACGCAGGGCCTTTGACCGAGGATGCAGCAGCAGAAGCAGCAGCAGCAGCAGCAGCAGCAGCAGCAGCAGCGCATGTGGGGCAAAGCAGCTGATCGCCTTTTGGATTGGCAGCAGCGGCGGCGCCTGAATCTGACGTGCAGCGCGTCGAAAAATGCCAAAAAAAAAAACAAAAAAAATGCAGCCCACGCTCATCTCGCCTTGATTTTTTTCCGCTTTCCGCTTTGGATTGCAGCTGCAGCTGCACTTTCAAATCGGATTCCCGGCGACAGCGCTTCCCGCCCGCCTGCTGGACTGTATCCGCTCGTCGCATCTCGCCTCGCCCTGCCTCACCCTGCCTCGCCCTGCCTCGGGTTGGCGGAAATCCGGGTGCGCCTCCCTGTCCCACACTACTACTATCTACTCGCTATCACCACCACGCTGGCCATACGATATGATGCACTCTCGGCGATCCCACCGAACAAACACTGTTGACTTCCACAATGTCATACCCGAGACATCCGCTCGCTTCTACGCTTCTTCGGACCGGTCCGCTCCGTCCATCACTGCGACCAAATGAACTCCATAGCGCGTGATCTACACTCGGCTTTGTTCTCCAATCGCTGTGGCGAGCATTATTGAACATTCGGTCGGCTTGGAGCACCGCTCGCTCGGCAATGCGTTCGGGAACCCGGCGACGCGCTCTTTTTCGGTCGCTTTTCCCGGCCATCTTCCCATTTCGGAGGATCGCACATCGGGCCCAGATCGCGATTTGCCATGACGATCCAATTTAACAATTTTGGCCCTTTTCGAAACGTGACCCGCACGCGAAAGGCGCGTCGCCTCGCCTTCGAAGAGTGTTGGGAGCGTGTTGGTCTGCAAACACTGCCCGAACCCAACTGCCAACTTGGCGCAACCCCGCACGGCCAAAAAAAAGAAAGTTGGAAACAGACGGCATTCAACCGCCATCCCTTCCATCCACCATCTCATATCCGCCATACCATCCACACAATGGATCTACACTTTGGCACACCCGCGCGCCTCGAGCGCCAGATCGCCCAGGACCTCATGCAGGAGCAGTCCGAGTTCGACCTCTCCCTTCCCGGCGGCGACACCCGCGACATTAGTGCGTCCATCTCGAGGACCCCCCTCGCCCCATCCAACAGGCACAACTCGTCCTTCTCCAGGCCATCCGACTCTTCCGACGTGTCGCCACCCGCAAAGCACACCCGCCTCGACAAGCCCCTCGCCACAACGCTACCTGTCACCCTCGCAGCGGCCGTGCACAATGCATCCTCCCAACCATCCCAAGAGCACCACCACCAAATCTCGGCCTCCTCGTCCACATCCAGCGTCTCCGACTCGCCTCACTCGGCCCATTTCCCCGATCCGTATGCGCACGTCAGGAGCACGTCCCCTCCACTCACCTCCACGCCGCACCGCACCGTCGGCGCTGCCTCCACCGTCGGCTCCAGGTCGCGAACCATGACCGCACGTCCGCTTGCAGACGCCACCTCGACGCAGCGCTACGACGATACCACAAAGACCTCGGCGGCGTCGCGTGCGGCTCGCTCCTCCCGCTCCGCTTCCGCACTCCTCGACGACCTCACCGAATCGTCCATCGCGCCCGAAGATGCGACCGATGCCCACACTGACCGCATCGACAACAATCCGAGTAGTCCCCAGCTCGACGGCCACGATTTGGTCGTATACGATGCGCCATCATCCTCCTCAAAACCGCTCGACCAGTCTCCGGCCGCGAGCGAAGGTATCGACTGGCACCAGCGTCGCGCTCAGCGAAGGCGCCTCGTCCAGCTCGACGAATCCGCCGTCGACGACGACGACACGCGCGCCACCCAAGACGCACCAACAACAGCATCGTCGCAAGCTGCCCAGACACAGCCAACGCCGGCTCCTTCGGCCCCCGAAACTGAATACACCGCCACCACCTACTCCAGCCCCGCTGCAGCCAGGCTCGTGCGACAAGGCCTCGGCGCCGCTTCCCGCAATGCACAAGCCGACTCGGCCGCCAGCACGCCAGTCCGACAAGCCACCTCCAACTTTGCTACGCCCAAGCAAGCGCCCGACTCGGAGGAACGCGCGCGCATGAAGCAATACCTCCTCAACAGCGTCAAAGCCACCGATCGCACACGCCTTCGGAACGGCAGATCCTCCGACGCCCATCTCGAGGCGCTCGAGCGCCTCAAAGCACAGGCACAGCTGCATCAAACTCCCACTTCGCGCTCCGACGGTACGGCTACCACCCCCGACTCGGCGGCGCCATCGTCCGCTGCACCCCCGAGCCGTCGAATGGACCGTCTGGGTCGAGCCAACATCATTGCTGCCGGTCGAACGCCGCTGCCCAAAGGAGGTGCGGCTGCACTGCTGCGACGCGGAGCGCTCATGGACTCGAGCACCAACTCGAGTGCAGTGCAGAGCCCGCTTCGGGCGGCGAGCGAACCGGTGCCCGATGCGGATGACGCAAGTGCCGTAGGTTCCGCAACGTACTCCGAGGCTTCGTCCAACGACCTCGCGCTCGCCCCCAATGCGTCCAAGCATAGCGCCATGGGCTTGCGCGCCAACACCTCCTTCCCCGGGCTTGGAGCCGCGGAGGCTGGGACCGAAGCCAACTCGGTCGCACGCCCGCGTGTCGACGCCGCCAAACTCGCGCTCTACCAGAGCAAGCTCAATGCACGTCTCGATGCGGAAAACACCGAGCTCAAGAAGGAGCGCGATCAGCTCCTCGCAAAGCTAGCTGCATTCGAGCACGCGACTGGCCAGCAAGACGGTGCGATGCTCGAGCAGGTGCGCAAAGAGTTGCAGCAGGAAAAGCAGCGTGCAGATGCGCTGGACGAAGAGGCGCAGCAGCTCGCCGATCTCGTCGATGACAAGGAGAGGCAGATCGAGGCGCTCAAAAACTCAGCGGAACGCCCGCAAGATTCACCCAGCGACAACGAGGAGCAACTGCGCGACGAGATCGACGAACTCAAAGCCGAGCTGAAAGAGAGGCAGGAAGATGTGGACGAGCTAGAGGCAAGGCTGGAGCAAGAGAGAGCGCAGATGGAGGAACAAGTGCAGCAGGCCAAAGCCTTTTCCTTCCAGACGCTCGACCGCATCGAGGCGGAGCGAGACCAGGCGCTGGAGCGCATCCAGTCGCTCGAATCGCAACTCAACCATGCCGCCCCTGCACGCTCCGAAGCGATACCAAACACGGGTGAGATCGAGGCGCTCCAGACGCGCATCGGCGAGCTCGAGGTGGACAAGCAGCAGCTGGTCAGCGAGATCGAAGCCAAGGATGGCGAACTGGGTCGCGTAGAGGGCGAGATCGAGGCGCTGCGCGAGCAGACCCGCGCCGATTCGATGCGTGTGCGCGGTCTGGAGCGCAGGCTCAATGCGGCCAACGCACAGCTCTCCAAAGCCGCCGACGCGCACACCAGCTCCGTCGACTACGATGCTCTGCGTCAAGAGCTCGACCAAGCCCAGGCCCACATCGCCGAGCTCGAAGCACAGCGCGAGCGTGCATCGTCGCAAGACGAGCGAGTGCAGATGCTCGAACAGCACAAGTCCGAGCTCGAACAGCGTGTCCAGCAATATCGCGAGATGATCAGTCGTGGCGTCGGCACCAACCTCGCCAATATCTCTAGGACCGACGCGCAACCCTCCACGCCGATGGGCTCGTCGCCGCTGCCTAAATCGGTAATGAGCCTGCGCAACGTCTCGGCGGTGCGCACACCGCGCTCGCCGGGACCGCTCAGCGAGGCTTCGTGGCTGTACAACGAGTCGACGCTCGGTGCGGCGAACGTTGTCGAGCGGATCGCGTACCTCGAAGGCGCACTCGATGAGGCAAACGCATCGATCGACGCTAAACTGCAGCAGCTCGACAGTGCGGGCGTGGCGCACCTCACGCTGGCGCAGAGGCTGCAGCAGGCGCAGGAGCGTATCGCCGAGCTCGAGGCGGAACTGGAGCGTCTGCGTGGTGCGGGGGATGTTTCCAAGAGTGCCGGCGAGAGGCAACAGGTGTTCGCCGACGTGCATGCGCAGCTCGAGGCGCTCAAGAGCAGATGGGCCTCGGACCACGGAAAGCTGCAGGAGCGCGAGCGCGAACTGGAGCGTCGCGAACGCGAGCTCGGAGATCGCAGCGCCGAGAGACGCCAACATCGCGACGTGCTGGCAGAGCTCCAGCGCGCAAAGGAGGCGGCGAGGTCGTTGCAGCTCGACCTGCAGACCGAGCGTGCGAGGCAGACCGATATGCTCGCCGAGCAAAAGCACGCAGGCATGCAGAGGGATGCGGTCGAGGGAAGCTTGCAGCGCACGCATGCCCAGCTCGACAGGGTCAAGCGTAGGCTGCAGGATAAACTCGACGACCTCAACGATCTTTCGCGCGACGACGCAGGCGAGACGCATTCGCGACAGGCGCAGGCCGAGGTGGATGCGCTGCGACGGGAGCGTAACGAGCTGTTGGCGCAACGAGCCGAGCTGCACGCCGAGTTTGCCGGCGCCAACGAAAAGTATGCGCGCGTGGTGGAAGAGCTGCGTGCGTCGCGGGCGGCGTTGGCCGAGCACCAGACGCAGCTGGACGAGCAGATTGTGCAGATGGAGGCGGCGCACGTGGCGTTGCGCTCCAAAAAGGCGCTGTACGAGCAGGTCGTCGGCGACCGCGACAGGCTGCGTGCAGAGAGGGACCTCATCGTGCGCGATGTGGGCACGTTCGAGCACGAGCTGCGCAGCCTGCGTCGCGAAGCCGACCGTCAGGGTCAAGACCTCCAACACCTGCGTCAACAGCGAGACCAAGCCCGTCGCCAGAACGAAGACACCGGTGCCGAACGCGCGCAGTTCATCGCCCAGGTCAAGATGCTCGTTCAGCAACTGCGCGAAAAGACGGACGAAGTCCAGGGCATCAAGACCAAGCTCGATGCGTTGGAGGCGAATAGTCTGCCTCCGCCCTACGTCGATTCGCGCCACGCCGAAGAATGCAAGGGGCTGCTGCTGCGTATCAGGTACCTCAAGCTCAAACTCGCCAGGGAGTCGGACAGGTGTGCGGACCTGGCGCATCAGAAGCAGTACATCTCGCAACTGCTCGCCGGCCTCGCCAAATCCGACGCCGCACTCGCAAAGATCCTGCTCGACTTGGACCTGCATTCGCCAGCCAAGACCAAGAGCAACGTGGAGATGAGATGGGCCAAGGCATGTGGAGTTGCGCGCGCGGTGGCGAGGATGCAACTGCTGGCGAGAAGGACGCACGAAGAGAGGCGGATCAAGTCGCAGATCGATGCCGCCCATGCCGACGTCCGGGCGCGCAGAGTAAAGACAAAGTAGAACTGCACAATGCATGTCAATGCCAGACGCCAAAACTTGGGAGGTACGAATCTGTTCCGTCCCCGCCGAGCTGTTGATGGCTGCGTGTGTCTTAAGTTGCGCTCCGAGGTGGTTCTCGTCCAGCTCAAGTGCGTGTCTGGACAGTGAGCACAGTCTGGCGGCACTTCTCACAACGGCCGCGGCGAGTATGACCGGCACGTCCACATGCAGCCTGTCATTCCGTCGAGCATGCATGAGAAGCCGCAAGTCGTGCGATTTCCTCACACTGGCTGTTCCAGCGCTGCATTTTCTTGCGTGTGTATCGACGTGCCCGCAAGTGCAGCCGCACACTCCAGTTCCCGCCGTCGACCAGGCTGCAAGCCACCGCCCACTTCCCACACCGCAACGACAAAGGTACAACTCTATTGCGTGCGTGTGTGATTGTACAGTTCCGTGTCTCGAAGCTTCTCTGAGTGTGTGTGTGTGTGTGTGTGTGTGTGTGTGTGTGTGTGTGTGTGTGTGCGTGCAGGTGTGTGTGTGCTCCGTGGTTACTCCTTCTCGCTTTCCCCGCTTCCCTCGCCTTCTTCGTCGGCCTCCTCTTCGTCATCATCGTCGTCATCGTCATTAGGGTCATTGCCATGGCTACCGCGCTGCTGCACGTTCGGCACGATCGTCACCTCATCCTTGCTTGTGAAATCCATAAACAGCTGTGTAAGCACAAACACGGCAAAGTCGCGGTGCGTCCAGTAGGCCAGATGGGCGCCAAACATGTCGAGGTAGTCGCTCAACCCGATGCTGGCGGACAGATGGTAGTCGATGCATCCGTGCGGGTTGAGCGCGCGGAATCGACGCTCGCCGCGCTCGAGCTGGTCCAAGTCCAAATCGCACTCGTCGGATTGGGCGAGCACAACAGCTTCGGGCTGGAGACGTTTATGGCGCACACCCGTCTCGGTCTGCAGATCCTGTTTGCCCAATTCGGGCTCATCGTCCCCAGCATTCGATTTGCGCGAAGAGGGAGGCGTGGAATGCAGCTGGTGCCACTTGCGGATGGTTTGGATGTAGTCGGAGCTGTCCACGACGCGTTCGCCCAACTTTCGCTCCTTCACCTGGTCCCTCTCGCTGGAAGACAAGCCAGCCGGCCCCTGTTGGTCTTCGAGGATGCGTGCTTGGCGCGTGATCTTGCCGACGCCTTGGAACGGATGCTGGTTGTACTTTTCAAACACGCGGCTGACGCTAAGCCTCGGCAGCGAGAGCGTCTGCAGCAGCGCCTCGGTGGCACTCTCGATCGAGATGGGCGTGACCACCTTGGCGTACGCCGCGTCGACGGTGGGCGCGAGCTGAAACGCGACCGGATCGTTCGGGTTGAAAATGTTGTACACGTTCTCCGCCGCCAGACATCCATACCGTCCCTGTTGGCCCAGTGCATCTGCATCGACGTCGGGATTGCGACGGGTGCCGCTGCGCGCGATAAGCTGGCCGCCATCGAGATGGAAGAAGAATCCGACGGGCGAGCCGATGAAGAAGAGGTTTTTGACGTTAAAGTGCAGACACTCGTTGCGGCGCAGTGCCTCGCGGTCCGTCTTGGCGGCTTCGGCAAGTGGAGGAACAGTCGATGGCTGCGCGGACAGTATGTCGGCCGCGAGTGCCGAGCCCAACGAATGACCGATGATCGAGACGCGCCCACCGCGCTGCTCAAAGTCCGGGTTGCGTCGGCAGAATAAACGATAGGTGCGGTTGAGCTCGGAGGTGACCGAGTCGATCATCTTTTTGCGATGGCGGGACAGATAAAAGGGCACATCAAGCACTACCTTGCTGATGACGTTGCGAACGACGGGAATGGCCGCCGAGTTGGTGATGTCGTCGAGCGTGTAAAAGTTGTCGTTGCCGTCGGGCTTGTCGTTGAACTCCATGAACCTGCGCCAGCAGATTGGGATGAATTGGGCCCTGCGTCCGCGCGACAAACGTCGGACCGCTGGATCGCGCGAGTTCTCGCTAGCAAGATTTCGCAGGTGCTCTACGTCGTAGACAAAATCGAGCGCCTCAAAGTCTTCGGTGAGCTGCTGGCCGATGCCGTGGATGGCGAAGACGAGCTCGGGCGGCTCGTCCTTGCGGTCGTCTGGGAGCTGGTCGAGATCGTTCTGAGAGCGGCGCTGGCGGTCGAGTTCGGCCTCGGTCATCTGCTGCTTCATCTTGCGCTTCTCCTCGTCAGCAGCCTGATCCTCGTCGTAGCCGAGGAACTTTTTGAGCGCTACGAGCGGACGAAGGGCCGCATCACTCGAGGGTACGAGCTTGGCGGCAAACGAGCGGCGCTCGTCCTCGTCGCCGTGGGAAGAGGGCTCGGCGCGGTTGGGACCGTCCGCACCTCCTCCCGAGGGCGGGGCAGAAGAGGTCTGAGCTGCGCCGGCGCGCTTTGATGCAGAGTGTGCGCCGCGACTGGAGCCAGCTTTTTGAGCCTCGGAGTGGCTGGACGAGGCGCCCTTGTTGGAGACGCGTGCGCCGTCGTCATCGGCGGCCCAGGGGAGCGAGAGGTTGAAGAGCGGACTGAATGACTTGGACTCGGCGATCTGCTCTGCGCGATCGAAGCCACGTACGACGATGGAGCCGCCGACGACAGACAAGAAGCGTCCGCGAAGATCCTCAGAGAAGATGCGGCCGACGTCTGCATCTTGGAACGAGACCTGACCCTTGTCCTTCATGCTGGGCAGCGGGTAGAGCTTGGATTTGTCGGTCTCCTCGCCGACGTCCGAGGCTTGGGAGAGGTCTTTGGATGAGGCGAGCCATGGTTGTGCCTGTGAATAGGCGTGATCGAGGTCGCTGGAGAGGGGATCGTCCCAGCTGATGGGAGCGTAGGAGCCGTCTGTGAGCGACGAGTAGAACCAGGTTGCGCGGACGACCTTGAGGAGGACGCCTTTCCAAAAGACGGGGTAGAGGGTCATGGACTCGAGGTCGACGTCGAAGAGATTGTCCTCCATGACCTCGACCTTGGCGGTACGTTCCGAGTCGGGCTCGTCGGGATCGAGAATGTAGTTGACCTGGACCTGGTCCGGGTTGGATGACTTGCCCGAGTCGCTGTTGGTGCCGTCATCTTTGTCCGAGCTTGCATCATCGTCGTCGTCAGCATCAGGTTGACGCGCGCCATAGGGCACGTACTGACGCAGCTTGTTCAGCCAGGAATCGTCGGGAGGTGTGATTTTCTCGGTTGCCTTTTGCTTGGTTTGCTGCGCGACGCCGGAAAAGCCGTCGAGAGCCGACTGAATGGCGTCGACGCCCGAGGGCGGTGCTCGGGGCGGCGGGGTATGCGACTCGTGTGGTGGAGGAGTCTGCTGACCGTGCGGTTTCGAGTGTGTGCGTGCCCACTGCTCTCCGCCGAGATGGTGCCATCGCTTTTCGAGCTTGTCGTTATCGTGGGGCTGAAAGGTTGCCCAGGTGTCGCCGCGTGCGTACATCCATCGTGCGCGCTGAGGCGGCGGTGAGGATGGCTCCCCGGACGTCGCCGATGCTGACGACGCTGGCGACGCCGAGGCGCGTGCTTGGTCAGACTGCTGCTGCTGCATCTCTCCAGTCTGGCCGGCGGTGATTACTGAGATGATGGATTTGGATAGAGGGCAGATGCATGATTCGGAAGCCAACTTACTCTGAGTCGGATCTTCCGATGTCTCTGGGCTGAGCAGCGTGGCCGTGCCGAAAATAGTCGATTCACAATTGTTCTCCACCTTTGCTGCAGTCTGCAGCCAGGAGCGCGCAACATGATGAAATCCTGCCTCCCGACTGCAGCCGAATCGGCCATGCCAAAAGTTGAAAATGTGAGAGCGCAACCAAAAACCTCCGCAGCGATACGCCGCACGCTTTGGAGTGGAGAGGAGGTTGCGCGCGCGATACGCTGCCTTGAATTCAATTCGAGTCTGAAAGGGGCCGCTGCGAGTGGCGATTGGCTGGATGGCAGGCGAGCTGGCTTGCAGGCCAACTGCGTCAGTTGGCACGAAGGCTGCCGCCACCCAGCCGCCGTCAAGACTCAGACTCGCATGATGTTGTCCCGAACGCTGCTGTCCCCCTCTTTTTCCCTTTTTTTGGCCAAGGCCATCCCCACCCTTGTTTTTGGTGGTCCCCGCTCGACTGCGCATTGATCCTTCTTTCCCTCACCACCATCCCCCTCTCTCTCCCTCTTTCTCTGCATTCCACCTGCTGCCCAACCTCTGCCCTCTGCGCGGTGGTCCTGCCATCGGCGCCATGTTGACATCGCAACTCGCCATCTGGCTCTCGGCGCTACTCGTTCTCGCAGCACCATCCACGCTCGCGCAATCAACACCATCCCCCGCCGACCTCGCAGCACAATACTCTGCCTCGCTAGCATCCGACACAATGCAGGCGCAAGGCCAGGCGACTCCACCCTTGCCCGCCTCTTCCTCCTTCTGGGACAACCTCGGCAGGCACTGGACCGAGGCAGACAGCACAAAGCAGACCCTCATGGCCATCTTCCTCATCTGCCAGCTCATCGGTCTCTTTTGGTTCATCAAGGGCTCGCTCGACAAGATCTTCGGACGTCGCGCAGAGTATCGTAACCAGCGAACAAAGCGCTTCGCACGCAGAGCCGCAGTCGCTGCCGCAGGAGGTCTCTCCAAGTCCGGCATCCCCCTCTCCCACCAGCGTCCGCTCTATCGCCCCGACAACAAGCCGCAGCTCCCGCCAAGGCCGTCTCAAGACCATCCCCTGCTCCGTGCTTCTTCCTCCTCTTCCTCCTCCTCCTCCAACACTCCTGCGCAGGCTCAATTTCAAACCACACCCGCAGGCGACATCGTGCTGCCCTCTTGGACCGACGCAGGGCCCACGCCGCTCAGAGTGATTGTCGAAGAGCCAGAGTACGAACTCTCCCCCATCAACTCGCCCGCAACGTCGCGCCCGCATTCGCCCGCCTACCCTCAGCACCCCGCACCCTCGCCCGACTCGCCCAATTACTCGTGGGCGTTCCGATCCGCACCAACCCGCGACAATGCCTCGCTCAGACTACGAGAGCGGGGCGATTACGCCGCATTCCCCTCGCCCATCGATCGCTCCTCCACTCCAGACACTCGGCTCGAAGACGTCAAGCGTCCGTTCAACCGCCCCGTCTACGCTGCTGAGCCTTTCTCAGCTCAGCCCAGCTCGAATCCTTCCGACTTCCCGATGCATTCGCCCTCTTCCTCCTTCTCGCCAGCTTGATCCGTCTCATCCACTTATACCCTTACCAGCAGCAAGGTCAACATCATCATCTCCCAAAGCATTCCACTCGTCTGTCGCTCTAATAACCCCCACAAACACAGCCGCGCTTGCCTCTCGATCGCGTGGCTCCATGTGCTTTTTATCGATTTGTACTATACCCGTCCCTCAATCCAGCATTGATCGCTCAACACAGTCTCGGCTCGGCCGTGCAACCATCGTGCATGTCTATGAATAGCCTTGTGCTCCTCTCCTCCAGGGTGTGCGCCGTGAGTACGGGCAGTGAACTTTTTGGGGGTCTTGGATGGGGCTAGCAGACGTGCACGGCTCCCGTCTTGCCGCTCGCCGTGTCAGAGATGGCGGTCCACACTAGGTGGTGCCAACAAGTATTGTCAGTCGCTGTAGTCTCAAAGAGCGCGATGAAGCCCACTTACCACTGATGAGCAGCACGACGCTGCCAAAGATCGCACACGCCACACTCAGCGGACGCGTCGACTGCCACCATTTGCGGTTGGCTGCTGCGGGTCGGAAGCGCACGCTCGCACCGGGTCGAAGTGGAAGCTCGACGTCGTCTACGTCGATCGAGTCCCGATTGGCCGTCTGACCTTCCAAGCGGTCCAGATGGGGCTCGGCATCGTACTCGCCCGATCGGATGGGCCGCTGATCCCCCACCGAATTCGACTGGTCCATCAGTCCCTCGCCCTCGCCTTGGTCTGCGTTGGGGTGGTCGCGCCACGACGAACTCGTCAGCGTAGGCAGGTCGGCCGTCGGAACGCGCTTGCCCGTCTCGCTGGTCAGCTTGAGGTAGCAAAGACTCGGAAAGATGAACGCCAAGGCCGTCGCACTGAGTCCGCCCGTGAGCTCCAACACAATGCCCAAGTCGCACGTGAGCAGCGAAATGATCATGGCAGTCACCACCAAGCTCGAGGTAAAGATGAGGTGTCGGTTGCGGTCGAACTCGCCGGCGAAGAAGTAGGTCTCCAACACCTCGCGACACACAAAACACTCGAGCGGCAGCGTGGTGAGCATGTTGAGGCCGAACAGTCCGCGCGCAATGTTGACCGTCACATCATCGTCCGGAAAGTTGTTCTGCAGACAGAAGGATTGGTTCAGCTGAAGACCGACGCCAGCGCATTGGTTTGTGCAAAACTTACGAGCACATTGCTGAGTGTCTTTTCCTCGAAACTCCAGTATCCAGCCACACTCATGGTGATGGTGGCGGCAGCGGCGATGATGGTCGAGTAGTGCGTGACTTGTCCGAACTTGTTCATCGACGGCTCCTTCAGTGAGCCGTAGATCACTGTTTGCGGGGAAGCGGGAGGGTTGTTAGAGCCGAGACGAGGTGCATGATGAAGAAGCAGTGACGTACGCAAAGAGTTGTGGTGGCAGACGAATGCGAAGCTGATGACCGAGATGGATCGGACCAGGTTGGTCACATTGACGATGGTGAACTGGTCGAGGAGCGTGGCATGTGGTCAGTACGAGAGAGTGCATTTGCGGCAGAAGGAGGATGCGAGTGCGACTTACTCGTAGACTCGGATCACCTTTGAGCTCTGCGGGCATAGCAGGACCGCGAACGGTGACTGCGATGATGATGACGACCATGGAGACGAGTGCGATGGCACTCGCCTTGCTGAGCTTTTCGATGTTGCGGTAGAGGGAGAGCGGGTAGGAGATGGCGAGGGTGAAGAAGGTGATGACAAACTGCCGATTCGCCAAGAAGCTGTCCGACAAAGGCGGAAAGAGCATTTTGATGACGTGTGGGATGGTGTCGCCGATCACGACGCAAAAGGCGCACATGCCGCCGAATCCAAAGGCAAACTGGAAGATGGATACGGCTGCTTTTCCGTTGGGTCCGAAGCAGTGTTCCATGATTTCGATGTAGGTGATGCGACCGCTGAGTTTTGCGTTGAGGACGATGAGGCGAATCGTCCAGTCTGTGAGGAAAGAGAGGCCGATGAGCAGTCCAAGTCCGGCGACGAAGCCCGACTCTCGCATAGAGTAAGGCAGACCGACGATGCCTGCGCCGAGGATGCTGTTGGCCATGTTGACGGTTGCGTCAAACACGCCGGCGCCTCGTTTGAGCCAGTCGGGCATACCTTCTCCGTCCCAGCCGGGGACACCGAGGGATTGGCGTATGGCGCGGAGGTCGTGGCCAAGTCCATCGATGGAGGCGCGAAAGCGGCCCTGACCTGGGATGCGATCTATGAGCGAGCGCGGACTGTCGCGATCTGTGCGCGAGTAGATGGGGTCGCGAGACGATTCAATACCGATGTGCGAGGACTGAATGGCGACGAGGTCGTCATCCTCGTCGATCTCGTCCGAGTCGGCCTCGAACTGCGCCTCTTTGGACGATGTGGTGGACTTGAGCGGGAGCGGAGTGCGATTGGAGGCGGCGGCGGTGGCGGCTGCATTCGAGTACGAGGGGAGTGGCGTGTCCAAGGATGTTGATGACGAGCCGGCGTGTTGGCGAGCGAGCGAGGATGCAGCTGCGTGCGGAGGCGCGGTGGACGCTAGGTCGTCGTCGACGTCAAAAATGGTCGCGCCGCCCGCCGCAGCGTTGCCTATTGAGCGGCTGTCAGAAGCGGGTGAGTGTACCATGAGACGTTCGGATCGGTGTGCGGCGAGGACTCGACGACATGTGGGCTCGCGGTGGGTAGAAGGGAAGGGTTGGAGGTCTTCGGCCTCCACCGCATCGCCTTTTGCACTTTGCCAGAGGTGTCACCTCGAGGGACGTGCGCTGTACCCGGCCTCTTTCTCTATAGTCGTGTCGGCCGGCGCGGCGCTGGTCGATTCTGGAGGATGTGAGATCTGCTCAGTCGCACACCTTCAACCAAATATTCGGTCCTACCGCTGACCCACGTGACCCCCAAAAAAGTGGAAGGAAAGTCGAGAAAGAGGGCGTGCGTGGGCCAATTCCAGGCTTCCTGTTCGAGCATCCTTTGCACCACCACCACCACCTTCGCCATCTTGAACCGCACGTCCCAACGTCGTCAGCATGGCTTCCATCGCTTACGGGGGCGCTCCATCCCATCCTGCCCTCGTGCAGCCCATCATCTTCTGCGGACCAGGTGCCAACTTGTATCCGCTATGCTCCAACACCGTCGGCGCAGACCTCGCCGGCGACGCCATCTCCTCGACACAGACCGACCTGCCCAAGGCCATGCTTCCCATCTTCAACAGACCCATGATCGCTTTCGCACTTCAGCAGCTCCTCTCCGCGGGTCTTCGTCACGCCATCGTCTTCGCCCCCTCCGAGCACCACTCTACCATCGCCGCCGCTCTCAAATCGCTCATCCTCATCCCTCCCACCCTCGTCCAGTCGGGAAAGAAGAACGTGTCGTCGGCAGCCGCAGCAGCTGCAGCAGCAGCCGTCGAGGAGGCTTCTAGAAACCCAAACGTGTCTGTCTCCGTCGGACTCAACAGCTCCTCCACAGCTGCCTCCGCGCCCGCAGCATCCAACCCGTACCTCTCGGCAAACACTTTTGCCGCCTCATCCGTCCAGAACGAGACGGTCATGCGAGTCGACCTGCTGCCCCTCGGTCCTGACGACGTGTCCACTGCCAGCGCAGCCACAAAGTACAAGAGCCTCGGCACTGCAGGCCTCATCTCCTGGCTCCACTCCATCGGAAGGCTCGACAAAGACCCGCTCATCCTCCCCGTCGATCTCGTCTCCCAGTCCATCTCCTTGACAAACATCATCGACGCTCACGTATCCGGCGTGCCACACCCTCCCGCCTTGACCTGCCTCATGTACGAAAGAGGCGCAGGCGAGGGCACCGGCAAGGAGCGCGAAAAGGACGGTGAGTGTCTTTTTCTCTTTGGCGTCTCATTTCTCACACAAGCGCTGACCGTTGTCTCTTGTCATCGCAGGCCCTCCCAAGCTCTTCACAGCATACGATCGCACCTCCACCCAATCCGCCAGGTCAAGCTCTGATGCGAGCGAACACTGCTCCGCCCACCAGCTCCTCTTGCTCCAGGACTCGGACGACGTCTCCGACTACGACTCGGCCGATCTGCACTTGCGCATGTCCCTTCTCTGGTCGCATCCACACGTTCGCATCTCCACCTCGCTCCTCGACTCGCACGTCTATCTCTTCAACCTCAACCATCTCCTCGACCTCTTGCGCTCCCAAGGCGGTCAAAAGATGAAGAGCTTGCGCGAGGAGGTGGTTCCCTTCATGGTCAAGTGCAGCTGGATGGCAGGTCTGCGCGAAAAGGCAGGCTGGACCAGCCGCTCTTCCAAGTCCTCGTCCTTGCAAGATCAATCATCCCATCAACTAGGCAAGGACGTCGCTGCTGCCACCGCGCTCCGATCCAGCACCTACGTCGATTCGCACCTGCTCCAAAGCGGCTCCTCCTACCGTCCGGCACTCGACGACATCGAAGATCGCCCCTCCCCCCTCTTCACTCCAGCGCGTTCCAGCGCCGTCTCGCCCTCCGGCAAGCCTGAAGACGATAACAAGACCCTCGGTCTCGCCCGCCAGGCACAGGCGGCAGCCAAAAAGTCGTCCGCAGAGATAAAGGTCAACGCTCTAATCTTCCGCCTCACAGCAGACCGCAAGCATCCCATCGATCCTTCCTCCTCCGTCGAGGAGATCCGTGAGCGTGACGAAACCGCCAAGCGCGAGCCCTTCATCGCACGAGCCAACACCGTCCCAACTTACCTCGAGTGCAACCGATACGTGAGTCGACGTACACCACCACCAAACCTTGTCTACCCGCGCTGTGACTGACCATCTCGACTCTTTCTTGCTTCTCTAGCTCCTTCGTTGCTTGGCATCCGGCTCGACCGGTCAAGCGAGTGGCGCACAGTCGGCCGCATCCGCTTCGAACACCGCTGTGCTTCCATCATCGTCCCTCTCCCATCCCATGCCCAACCAGGCTCTCACAGCACCCGCTCCTGCCTCTGGCTCGCCTTCGACAGCAGCTCAAGCATCGCTCGACTCCACAACCACGGGCCCCGATGCAGCCGCCGCTGCTGCCAAAGGAGCGCAGTGGATCGATGCAAAAGCCCAAATTTCGTCCGATTCGCTCGTCGAGGGCTTCACCCGCGTCGGTGAACGCACCGCGATCAAGAGAAGTGTCGTCGGACGTGCATGCGTCATCGGCAAGAACGTCAAGCTCACTGGCGCCATCGTCATGGACGGCGTAAGGATCGGCGACAAGTGAGTACATTACGACCCGTCTCGTTCTTGCAAATCGGCTCCTGACACAGGCTGACCTTGGCTTGTTCCTCCCTATTTCCAAAACTCACAGCGCCAAACTCGAGAACTGCATCCTGGCCGCTAACTCGGTCGTCGAGGAAAAGTGCAACCTCAAAGACTGCGATGTCGCCGCCTTCGTCAGGGTCTCGGCAGGCACAAATACAAAGGGAGAGAAGTTCGACGAATAGTTATCCGCACACGATTGCTTTTCGTCACTCTTCATATGCACCATCACAGCAGCGCCTCCGCGTAGACTTCGAGCTAGTCGACATCATGCACGGTGTAGGAGGAGAGCAATGAACCATCAACCAGTTTGCTGCATGCGAACGGCTCTGAGCACACAAGACATGAACTGCATGATGAGCAGCCACACGAGGCTCATGGAGCAATTTATATCCTAAAAAAAACGCGAGCTGGCGAGGAGCAGCCACCCCTCAGCCACC